AGAATTTGTTTTCACTGGTTGATTCATTAATGCAGACAGTCGACCTAGAGTTAACTTCTTTGTCAATATCACTATGAAATGATAAATTGAATGCTGACTTTTGTTTAAACATCTCTTGACGAAATCTGTCTTCTTCAGAATCATCCTCCAAGTCATGCATAACTCCAGCCGTTGTTTCTAATCCTCTTGGACATAGCTGGTCCGTGTTTAGGGCCGGCGTCCTAGATACTGGCATTAACGGCTCAAAATCCTCCTTGGAAATGATATGTCGATGACTAAACACTGGGCTTGACAAAAAATCCTTGCTTCTGTTCCAAAAGTTTTTATGTATTGGGAAAAGGTCTGTTGTGCTATCATTTCTTGGAAGGTTTCTAAATGATGCAATGTTTGCAATATCGAACTGTTCTTTGTCAATACCTTGCCTGCTATTACCTAAAAAATGGGCTGCAGTAGGAGAATTTGCTTCTGCATTAGGCAATTGCATGTTTACAATGTTTTGAAAAGTGCGTTTCATTTGATTTGTGCTTTGAAGATGATGGTTGGCCGATTTTGGCAATTGATTGTCTTCATAATCATCGTTTTCACGCTGATGTTGAGACGAAGGCGCATGCGTTAGCGTCGTATTCTGATCTGCTTGCAACTGCGGCATGGCGTTGAAATATGGCAATGAAATATTTTCATTGCTTCTAGAAGCACTTGTATTTGCATCTTTTTGCAACTTGTTACTTATTCGTTGGCCCTCAGAACTAGAAACTGTGGGATGTGGAAGTTGGATTTTGTGTTCTCTGCTTGCACTGTCTAACAAAAAGGTCTTGTTCACTTGCAAAGCTATGTTTCTAGTGATATTCATGCCATCATCGTTGTTATTAGAAAAGTCGTTGGATAATTGATTCGTCGGTCTGCTTATAGGCGTGCTATGAGAAGTCACAGAATCTTGAAAAAGGTTACGAAGGTCCAAAATTCCTTCAGTTTTCTCATTTCGATAACTGTCTGAGATCGCCTTTTCTGTTGCCGGTTTCTGTGGAAAAAATCGCTTTTTGCTATATGTGACTGTTTTAAGTTTATCTTTATTGCAAGGAGTTTCTTTAGCATTTGGTAAATTCTCCTTGCCAATATTACTTTCTAATGAAGGCAGAATAGAAAGCTTGTTCTCAGGTCTGCTGAACTTTTCATTTTTGCCTGGGGAACCAAATTGTGTTAATTTTGAAGTTGTCCTTTCTTCCAAGGCAGTTTTGTCGTTCCTACGTCTCCTATTTTCAGCTTCAGCAATATGCCTATCAAGGATATCCCTCGGAAGGGGTGTCTCTCCCTTTTCCTGAATAGCAGCTGCACTGTGAATCCTTTGAAAACTTCGGTTGCCATCATCTACTCTGCCAAACTCTAGTCTTGACTTCAACCCATGAAACGTATCCCCATCATCAATGTTTACATTATGCTGGATTCGGGTTTTTTTCGGTTTGCTTAAATCAACAAAATTAACAGGTCTTTTTGAAGTCGCTGGAAAACCTGCATGGAAAGATAATATTTTTATCAATTGATCGAGGTCCTTATATTTATTATCGTTTATTATTATAAACCGCTAATTCTTAATTTTCCTTCGCCTTTCAAAGAATTCTCAAAGAATTTCCATTTTAAAGAATTAACCTTAAATTGCTAATTCTGATCCAAGCTTCAACAGTCTACTATGCCAGTGTATAGAGAACTTTTTTATGAGAAGAGCCATGTAGCACTAAATCATTATATCATTTAAGTTTGGTTACATGAAGGTCAAACTTACTTTATTGTTTTCGATCTTTGAAATGAAGCATTAAGAAAGACTAAAATTTGGCACGGTCTATCTATATTTAATTCGAGTAATACCAGGGCTTTGCATACGCTGTAGGTTTCTAAGATTTCAAAGCCAAATGAGTTTTTTTACAATCTAGATGAGAAGGACTAACTTCATTTAGTGTACTGTATGTTTTTCAATACTTTGAAAATCACGGGCTATTATCAATCAAATCTTTAATCTCTTATGATAATTGTTACAAACCTGAAAATATATGATATATATGAAAATATGAAAAGATATGAAAATACACTTACGTTCAAAAAGTATTGGGACACCCTTCGAAACTTCGAAGACATTTTATGCAACAAATTCGGAAAGACTTTTTTGAAATCTTTCTCATTAAAAAAGTACGGCAGTTATTTCCATGAAATTTTCACAAGACATTGTTGATATTTTGAAGCCTTTCGTGTACGCCAAAAAATTAAAAATACATCTACCATAAAATTTCTATAGGTCTCGAGACGAAAACATGGAAGCTCTGAAAACTCAAGAACTGAGTTAAGAGAAGCGCTTACAAATTGCTTTCTACTATAATAAAGTAAATGGATTTTGCGATATTGCATCAATTCTCGGCTGCTCAATGAGTGCAGCTTTTCTGGTGTGTAAAACGTTTTTCCGTACAAGAACAGAAAAAAAAATTACCAAGGGTTTGCAGACCAAAGAAGTTTACGACGTCGAGGGACGACAGCTCTTTACTGAGGGAACTGCGAAGTAATAGGTTAGAATCCTTACTAGATATTATGTTGTCATGTTGAAGAAGCTAATTAATGGAACATAAGCAAAACCATGGCTATAGAAGCCATGAAAAATACAAATTTTCCAGCGTTATAAAAAGAAAATGCTCTCTCAAAGCAAAAATTACTCCTCGACGATGAGTACAATGGCTTCTCCTTTAATGTTACGCAATTTTAAAAGTAGCTTGAATAAATGCAATAATTTAATAAATTTGTAGCATTTTCGTCGATGAAGTAAACTTTTTTGAAGCTTAGAAGTTTGATTTTATAATTTCTTTAATAATTTTTTTTGTTATGCAAACGTGAAATTAAAAAGTTGTATTTGTTTGGACAGCTCTAAAATTTTTGGAAGGTCATGTGACTTTGCCATTGTTAGGCCATTCAACCCTTCTGCATATTTTGCTGTTATAATCAGGAAAATCGAAAGAATCCTGTGTTTTCTTGGTTATTCTTCAAAAGTTAAAGCATTTTGTTAACTTTTTATTCCATTTTGGGGAAACTTGGGCCTAGATTATTTGTAGAAAGACTGCCTAAATCTGAAAAAGTTTCCGTTGCAAAACCGAATCCAACGGAACGCCATAATTCGTTTATCGAATTCGTCCCAATACTTTATGAACGTTAGTGTATATGTTACAAACCTGAAATTTCCCTGCTGTTCAAAGGATACAAAAATAACAAATCTTGGCTGACAGCATTCTTATCAATCGATTTTCCATCGGATTTTGGTTTTATTTCTTCATGCTTTTTTGCTTTCCTTCGCCTTTCAAAGAATTCCCGCTGAATTCTTCGTTCATTTTTCACTTTAACTCGTTGCCTAAAATTTAGAATGGAAATAAATAGAATGAAATGGTAACTTGACTTAAGCTTCAAACGACATTTTATGACGTTTTCCAATTAAGATTCAAAATTTGAGTTGTAAATAAATGATTAAATAGCATGATTAAATAGCATGATTATTGAAAGCAAGTGAACATGTGTTTTGAAAAGGCATTATCAGAAACATTCAAGCAAACTGATAGGTTATATCATAGAGCATTCTTTGATGAGCATCTTATAATACCATATCCATATTTAGAGAGCCCTTTCTGAAAATCTAGCATTCACTTTCCATGTTATTTCTAAATTGCGATCTAGGAGGTCAGCAAACAAGCTTGAACCAAAACACTAACCTTGCACCTCCAACCCAATTCATGACCTCATTTGTTTTGCAGCGATGCTAGTAATAAAACATTGCACGATATTTTGATCTTCTTCTTTCTAAGAAAATTTGTTACATTTATGATGCATTGCTTACGCCATCGTTTCCCGCCAGTTATATAAAAAGCTCCTCCCCATTGTCCAGATCGTTTTTCGGTGAAGGGCAATGTGAGAATAGTTCAGTTAATGTCAGGATAAGATAACAAGCAAATTCATTCAATTACGAAATCTAAAATACTAAAAAGTTTTGTTTGTTGACAAAATCCAAAATAATTTTCCTTGCTGTCATAGCAAGCAAATATGAAATTTAATGCATACAATATACACTTTCTGGCATAGGGTTTTTAAAACAACTTTGACGGGAAGGTTTTAAGGAAACTTGATAGAGAAACGGACAAAAAGTATTTCATTTTGCTGAAAATGATTTGCTTTTTACGCAATTTAGAAAAATTTACAGTGAAAAATTGCTCATGAAGTTGTGAATGAAATTCTTGAATATTTTTTAAGCATAGCAAAAAGATTGAAGTTTTCTACAATGTTTTCAACAATCATATAATCATAGAAATATAGCAACACATTTTTAAAGAAACAGTTAGAAATGACTGTCTCAGAAAAAGGGGTGATTTCAATGAAAACTCGCACGAAAGTTTCCTCAGATTTCGAAAAAATTCCTTTGATTTAGGAAAACTTGCTTTTTGTTAAAGATATAGAAAAAATACGTTCCAAAAAACTGTTACCATATTAAGTATCAAATCGAGTCTACAAAAAATCATCTTAGACAAAACAATTTGTCTCTTGTAAATTTATATTTATGGCATTTGTTTCAGGGTAAAGCCCAAGCCAAATGCTCTCAACATTCAGGAAACATTTGGAGTCCAATTTTAATTTTGTCCACTTTTATCATTGTCTGACACTGAAATCGTCCGATCCTCACACAGAGAAAAGCAACAGGAGCGTAGCTAGCGAAGGGGGGGGGGAATAGCACCTAAATTTCTCTCTATTTATGTCTTCGTCGGTAAGTCGTGAATTTCAAATTTCCTTGAAATTTTCTTATCATCCTTAGAAAACTCCTTAAAGAGTTACAAAACCTTAGTTTAAGGAAATTTTCTTAGTAGTGAGAGCTATTTTACCTTAGAGTTATTTTTACTGTTTTTGCAATAAATGTTCTGTTACCTTTGTTTATAACAGGGCCACATCCAGGGAATCGGGGCTTACCCCTGTCATGCTGCGGGTAATCCTTTGTAACTACGAAGGAGGTTTCTTCGAAGTCACAGGATCGCAAAATGGTGGACAGTCGCGGATGGGAAACGGAACCATTTAGGGATAATACATCTGGTAAGAATAGAAGCATAATGAAATATTTTTAGAGAATTTTTGAACAGAAACATATTTAATTCAATTTTTCAACTCAAAAATAAAGTAATGCAATAATGGGTCTCCTAGTTCTATTATTAATGGAGGACCCTCCCCCTACTGTGACTCTTTATCATATAATTTATGCACAGATTACAGCCCAGGCTCATATAAATTGATGAGTAACTGTTTTCACTGGTATATAGAGATGTAGAGTGAAAGAGAGTTATATTTGATGACATTATCAAACTTGCTAATCCCAATCTACGGTCGCTGGATATAAAAATCTGAGCCTAGGCCTGTCTCTTTCTCTATCTGCAGACAGAAGGCCGAGATCAAAAATTATATCTAAAATGAAGGCTAGGGAATTGTATTAACTAAACTTCGAGCTTGTAGCTGTTTTACACTTTAGTATATAGATTGAATTTTGAGAGCTAGGCTTTTAAAATCTCATTAACTGCCTACATATGATAAGACAGTCAGACGGGATTCTCAGTGTTTTGCGCGGAGAATCTAAATTCTTGTATACATTATCACTTTAGAACCACCTTAGATTGCAGTATGACAAAGACTGTAGTATGGTAAGACAACATATTGGCATTAATTTGGTTGTTTCAATGGTATGGTAGATTTAATGTTGAAAACGCTAGCTCACTCATGGAATTTATTGTCTGAGAGACATGGGTGTAGCTGATGCAAAACAATTCAGGGGGGAGGGGGGGGCTTCCCTGAATATTATTGATTTATTTAGGTATAGCTCCTCGAATTGAGCTAAAACCAATAAATGTTGCCTGATTAGTGTTGGAGGGGGGGGGGGGGGGGTTGGTTACTGTCAGAATCCAAACTTTTTGTTCATTTGTCTTGCACTTCAATAACATACTTCAATAAGATGCCTTTGGAGAAAATAATTGAGTTTTATCAGTATGATTAATTTGTTATTTTATAGATTAAATTATATTTGGATTAGATTCAATAAGTGGTAAACTCATTTTCTGCAGATTGTGTGGAAGTTTTCTATTTGCTTTGTAGCTGATGTGGTTGCTCAGGTGCAAAAGAAGTACTTGCGGTTCCTTAATGATTATGCATCACAGTTAAAAGCTGTTGAAGATGCTCTGGATGACACGGTTGGAGATGCATGGGACTTCACTCTTGATCCCATTTCACTCCAGGTGTTTATTTATCAGTAAAATTTCCTACTTATTTCTATAAATTATGTTTTTATGATTAAGTTATCAATATTAAATAAACAGAGCATTTCTACATATGAAAAATTCTTCATCATTAAATTTTTAAAATTGAATTCAGTTCAGTTCAGTTTAGTTGTTTCTTTCTAATTTCTCTGTATATATGTAATTTATATTAAACATAAAATTAATCATATATAACTCAAATAGTAAAAAATCCATAAAGTAGACAAACATAGGAGTGAAACTTATAGGAGGGAACCCCTTCAAGAGTTTAAAATTAATTTAGGGGATATCACCCTGTAGTAGAGAAAATAGAAAAAGTTTCAGCATGAATTATCCAAAGTTAAGCCATTTCAATACTGATAGGAATTGTTTCCTTGTGGATTGTCCATGAATCTAAGGTTGCTTTCACCAGCTGATCGTGGCTTATTTTTTGCTTGTAAACCCTTTAATTTATGAAATATCAAGGCTATTAATTTCATGGTGTTGACAGCAGTCTTCCAAAATTTATTCATTGTCTGTAAGCAAATTTTACATTTTCCTTTTAGTCAAATTGTCAGGAAGCAAGCATGTTAGATCTGCTTTAGCCCTGAGATTGCTTTATTGTTTAATTAACTTATCAAGTCTTGGCGTAGCTTTATGATCATAGTCAAACCAGCTACATTTTCATTTTCTAAAAAGCAATTCAAGTTAAAAAAGTTATTAAGAAGTGTTGTAGTTGTGCTGCATTCAACAAATATCGTTGGCAAACATCTTTGACAGTTGTTAACATTTATCTTTAGGCACTTCCCTGTGAGCAAGCCAAGCTGCTGGAGCTGATCAAGACTGACAATAAGGTAACTGATACAAGTATCACTTACTTGCATACTCTCATGTTTTTGGGCAGAAAAAGACAATTGATAATGCCTATATCTGACTTTTGCAGAATATTTTAAGTTATTAGGAATAACAGAATATATATGGCTTTGTGTTTTGTGCATTGAATTTATATAAATAAGGCATTTTAGCGTTAAAAGTTTGTAGCAGTGCAACTTTGCTCTGATCCATTACTTTGTGCAAGGAATAGGTGAATATTCACCATTTTAGGTGAATTTTCACCCTTGTGAATGTTCATCATTGCTTTGTGAATGTTATCTCAAGTTTATTTCATGTTTGATTGATGCATTGCTGTTGCAATTAATTTCTGGAACAAAAGTATTAAATTCAGTCACTATCATGGTAGCTTTTTATAATTCTTGTGGCCACTTTTTATAATCCTTGTGGGCTATAGCAATTTGTTTTTTTAAGAAATTATCCATTATAGAGCTTATCTAAAAGGCCTAGACTCGTAGTCACCTTCCTTCCTTTTCTAATGAAATTAATCAACAACTGGTTGCAAAAATTGTGTACTACTGCTGTTGCTAAACTTTCTTGCCAAAGCCACTTAATCTACTAAAAGAAAACATTTTTGTGGACAATAGTAAAACTGCCAACTACAGCTGAGAAAAAATAACTAAATACACTTGTTTACATATTATGCCATTGTCAGTAAAACGGAGGGATCGATGCTGCCATAAGGCAAGTTTGGTAGCTTTGACACACAGTAGAAAAAATTCAATGAATATCAATGAACATTAAAAAAGTGATGTTTTTTGACATTAGGTTTTCCTAGATAGGTAGAAGGTTTGGTTTTATTAAGATTGTTGCTTGACAGGTCTTCAATAAAGTGATAACAGTCCTTGCTGCACTATGCTGTGAAATGCAAGAACTCAAGCATGAGGTAAATCCTTTGATATTTTGATATGAACTTTGAGAACATGGATCCAAAATTCAGAAACTTTTGCATTCATTGTAAAGTCCTATCACAGCTTTTCTTGTAGTTTTTTTTAATTCTGACAACATTATTTGATAACATCATTTTTTATTTAGTGTTTTAAAAAGACCCTTCCACACTGAGAAATTGCTTCTTTTCCAGGCTGAAACAAAGTATTATGCCCCATTGCTACTCTATGAAGAATCCTGTAAGTAAAAATGGATTTACTTATACAGTTGATCTTTTTAAGTCACTAACTCGAAAACTTGTAATATTGTGTCTAAGTTGCTTCTGGGTCTCATATTTACCTTGTGTAAGTTCTCAAAAAGACATATTATTGGTTCTGAAAAATGAGACCGAAAATATGTCCTTTTGAATTTATCTGAAATTTCCTGTGTCTAAGTTATACCATTATATAACAAGAAACAAGTCATCAGCTAAGATGTCTTTGTAGTACGTAATGTGATGTGTCAATGCTTGGCTATTGCATTGAAAGTGTTAAATGACAATGTATGTCCTGACTATTTAAGTAGCAAAATATATAACTACAAGTACACCATAGAGGCATAGTCATTTTGCATTCTGTATTGATAACTTTATCATTGTATTTTTTGTACTTTTTCACAGTGGAGGAATGCAGTTTAGAAGAGGGAGAAGCTCAGATAAAAATTGGAAGAATGCTGTCTTTCTTGAAGGTTGGTAATATCTTAAATTTAAGTCTCATTTTTGAGAATTACAGATCTGGCTCTCCAAAGTTCGCTACTGCTAAAAAATATGGATTTAATCTGAAAAGTGAATTTGGGATTGATCTTTAAGCCCTGCCTCATCTGAAGCACAGAGGGACATGTCAATTTCCAACACCGGAATGTTTTCCAAGCCGCAACTTTACACATCTCCATCCCTTTAATTTTATTTATGTATTCTTCGACGTCTATCCTTTTTTAAATCTTGCATATTATATCTTTATTTGACACTTTTTTATACCAATCGTAGGATGTTTCAAATTTTGTTCAAAGGTCATACGAAGTTGTGAAAAACGTTCTACTCCAGTTGGCTTCCTTGTACAACAGGTACATACAGACTAATTATAATTTAATCTAACTTTTCAGGCTTGTAAATAAAACCAATGTAACTTAAATGACTTTGTCGCAAAGAATGAATTTTTCACTACGTCACGAGCAAAACCCCTCATCAGGTAGAAAGATTAAGGAGAACAACGGCCAAGAAGAAAGTAGAAAAGTAGAGCCAAAAGAATGGAGATATAAAACGCATATGATGCAAAATGGGGTCATGGATGCAAAATGAGCTGGAATGCAAAATTTTCGTTCATTATGCCCTAGATGAGTTTTTTACATTCTAAAATCCATTGTAAACGTTAGACAATGGGCAACAAAACCCTGATTCAAAAGCATTTTGCCCTTCTCTCTAATATCCCTTTTGTTATGATAGCAAGAATGGAAGCATTTCAAGTCACTGTTCATGGTCACGCTAGATTGAAGTCATGTTACATTGTGATATTCTGCTAGGTATCAACGTGAATATAAGACAGAACGTGACTTTTCAAGTGTATTATATAACTTCTTCATTATTACAAATTTCATATAAGCATTTCAAAATTTAATAATGGTAAGAATTTGGTAAAAATGGTGAAATTTTTTAACGCTGATGGAAGATATATTTTGTTGGCACAGAAACATTCCTTCAAAAAAATACTGTGATAAGCTGTGATAAAATTCTTTAAATTTTACTGATAGGGGTGGAGGAACTCAGGCTGTTATGGGTGTAACAGATGTTCACTTCACGGTACGTAATCCAGTCTTGAATATGGTATTTCATAAAAATAGGTGCCAAGTACTTGAGGGATTTGAGAGGGGCTCACCCACCTGTGTTAACTTTTTGATACAGAAGGCAAGGCATATTTTAGGAACTGCAGAAGCGGCATATTTTCGTCATTTATGAAATGGCAAGTAAAAGATGTTAAGATGTTAATATTCTCTTTCAAAGGAAATTTTGACACATTTGTCAGTTGTTTTGCTCGAAATTGATCACTTTTGAGATTATATGAACCCCTTTTTGCAATTGTATATACTCACATTTTGGGTTTATAGTCACCCCAAAGAAAATTACAACTTTGTTTCTACTGTCGTGTAACATGTAAAGGACAATCTAACTCAGTTAAAAGTTGAATCTTAACTGTTGTTTTCGTTTCTGTTAAACAATAATACAGCATTTAACTTTTTGTTTAAGGTTGTCTTTGAGCACCTTGGGGATTTGCTTGGAGTGCTCATGACTCTAGATAAGATTGTTGGAAACAGCGCCATCTTTAAAGACCACTGGAAATTGTATAAACGGTAGGTTAAACCGTTGTCTTTCCAAAATGAAACATTCAAAGTCCGATAGTTCAGATTTTCAACGGAAGCCGATAAAGACAATTACCATAAATCCTCGAAACGCCCCCTAATTAGCATCCCCAAGAATCAGCCCCTCCCCCTCAAAAAGGTCTCCACCATAACATGCCAACTTTCACAATTCGTGATTCTAGCCGATGATAAATATTATTATCAACGGAAAATGAAAAGCCTGAACGAACGAAGCATTTTCATAACGTTTTTGGTTAACATAAATCTGCAGAATGTTTCTCAAAATGAACTGTAAAGTATGAAAAGCTTTGAAACGAGCTAATTGTGAAGCAGCCTTCAGGATAATGTGTATAAGGCCCTCCCCCCTCGTTTGGTGTAAAGAAAAATGTAAGAATTTGGATTTGTTGTAGTTTTTTTCAAGCTTTGTCTGGTCAGCATTGTTTTAATGATATCCACGAATAGTCATAATTAGTTATAGATTAATATTCTAGTTTTAGAGTGTTATTTATTTCTTTTATTGTCAAGGTTTTAAGAATTGAGTTGAATCATTGAAATGTTTAGTTTTTGAGCAACTGCTTTGAATCGATACAATTTTTTAGAATGCTTAAATCAGTACACAACAATGCAACAAGGTTTGGTGTCGATGAAAGCAAGCTTAGGCCATTTGAAAAGCTTATTATCGAGCTGGAGGGCCAAGTTCTTGGAAATGACGTCATCTTTACGGTGGGTTGTTTGAAATGTTGATAGCGTTCTAAAGTGATGTCATCACAACAATCTATTTTTAGAATTTGTGATTTTGAATCACCTAATCTTCATCTGTTTTGGATAGCGTAATCAACATTTATACTATATATTTCATATTTACTTCTTCAAAGCATTACGACCTCAGCTCAGTTTCCTGAAAATAGAGGGATGGGAATTGATTTTATCGAGTCACCTTGAATGACATCAGGGTCGATATCGCTGTCCCCGTTTTGTGCAATGAGTAAAGTCGATCGTCTGTTTTCTCTTTGAAATGTAAATGGGAAGCTACCTTCGGTACAAGAAAGAATTTCGTTGCTTTAAGCAAAAATGTTGTTGGTGCTATCAAAGTGGGTGCTATGTTGCTCCCTAATATAGTTAGCTTTTTATTTGCTAAATGTTTGTTTAAATACCTGAGTCCTCCCTTGATAATGATAAAAAAGAGCAAAATTTATATTTTTGTTGCTGTTTTGTGACACTTCGTGACAGCTCTATACCCATGGGTAGAAATTGTTTCCTGTCCCACTTTGCAATGTAGTACAGTAGTCATTGGGTCGAGTATTCTGTTGTTATTCAATGTGAACTTTCACAGTATGTCTAAAATGGCTCTTTTTATTCATATCCGTTGTAGAATTGCATACGGCAGCACTTTGATACGAGGTTTGTGCCAGTTGCGAGGAATCCAGCATTAGCCGAGGAGTTCATGACGTGTATGAGGCTGATATTTGCTGACATAGAAAGCAGAATCGGTGAGCGGGCTTTCTTATCGAGTATCAATTCTGCTAGTCGATACTGAATTTTTATTAAGTGCTTCTATCATAATCGTTTGCTTATTTCAATTTTGTGAGGATTATTCAGCATTTTCAAGAAATTTATTTTTTTTATCCTTTGATACAATTATTGCAATAGCAGTAGTTTAAATATCTGTGGTTAATTATTACGATGCGATCCAATCTACGTAACGTCCGTTTCGCATATAGCTCTGTTCAGATGACGTCACTTATTCTCTTTATGGTTGCAACAACGGAGATATTCAGATATCTCGTGGAAAATTTTCTTGGTATAAGATAAATTTGTTAACAAAATCTCTGCAGGCATTTCTCCAGGCATCAAAATTGAAATTATTCTTTTAAATTATCCATTCCTTGTTTCAAGGTGAAGCAAACGAAGTGAATCAAAGACACAAATATGTCAGTCTTCTTGGCCTCTTCGTCTTACACTTAACAATCTACAGAAATGTAGACAAACGATTTGTGAAGCAAATATGGGATGTTTACAAGAAAGTGCCAGCTATCCATCTTGTTGGCAATATACTCCTCTTCCCTGACGAATTTCTATTGTCACAAGCCCCGGCTGTAGCGAATTTTCTTGATCGGAGGCAAATCGAGGCTGTAAAAACTGCCAGAGTGACCTACTTGAACACTTGTAACCAGTCTCTTACAAAGGAAGCGCAGAGGTATGCCGCTTTGCAGTCTTTCGTGTCATATTTTTCAGGAATTGATGTTAATGAGGTATATACCCCGTGGATGCTCTGTTTTTTCAAGCCAGGCCAACCTAGTGTGAAGAGCTCTTTACAATGGCTATCATTTTTTGCGAGATTTTTGTATCAACCTTTTTAAATACCATAAAAATCGACACTGTACTAGAATCCCTTTACACTTTATTAAAAGAAATTTAGAATAAGCAGAGCAAGGAAATATCCGTGAGAATAACTGGTTTTAAAATAGTAGCAAGGTATGAATAAGAACATGGGGGGCATCTAGTAGTACGGATTGCTAAGGTGAACAGGGAAAGAAATGTTGCTCAGCTCTTATGTTCCAGAGACAAATCCTGTTTATTCTTTGAAGGCTTTCTTTCTTTCTCTTTATCCATAAGTCAAGCAGGGGTAGCAACATTAAAATCTTGATACTGTCTGACGGATTCAGAATAATTTATTTCGTATTTCAAGAGAATTAACCAGTGCGATATAGATAAAGTAACGCCTTACAGTACTTCAAACTATCTAAAGCGTGTAATTTCATCATCTGATTTGCAATGTTTTTGTCTTAGGTTGTATCTATTGATAAACTCGTGGATGATAAAAATGGAATCAGCCACATTTGCTGATGACTTCAACAACAAGGCTGTTTTGTTTATTCAGGTAATTTGATATTTAGAGAAAACTTTATTTTATGAAAATGTAATTTGGCTTCTTGACACTACACTAATTTAAAGTTAGTTATTATCATTCATAACATTTTTATTCTTGTTGGAGTAATTACTTTTTGTACCTTAAAACCTATTTAATTGTCTTGTGGTCATTAACTGGGCCAGAGATTTATGCAAGAGGGCAGTTGTTTTGTCGACATGTTGCTCGTTCGATAGGGCAGCTATAATGGCGACATGTTTCGGATTATTGGTAAAGCCCGATCGTCGTTCCACCTAGCAGTTTTAGAATCTATCTACATAAGCACGAAAAAACCGCTACTGTGTAGACAAAAGGAGTTCGTTTTCACCTTAGGACTCCATTGGTAACATTCTAATAGGCAAGCGGCACTGATTGGTCAACCCTTACAGTCATGTGCTCGTGTTTCTGATTGGCCTATTTCGATCCACAACTGGGTATATATATTTCTTAGCGTAGAGTTTTCGATCTATGTTCTGACGTTTTAAACTCTGAAGAGTGTCAGACGAAAAGCTTTAGTTTACTAAATAGGGCAGTTAGTTGAATTGGTCGTATGCACTAAAGACAGACTGTGTATGATGCTTATATGTTAACTGAGCAGTCTCGTGGTAGCCCTATAGCTCAAGAGGGATACGGTGATATGAAGAAAGATCTTAGAATCTTGATCAGATTGTAGCTATAGTTTTTGATAAATCAGTGCACTATTGATCCTTTGGCGATCAGTTTTTGACATGTGAAATTATTACAACCTATGGTACAACTTATCTTAGCCAGAGGTTCAGTTGTCAGCGAATGAGCTGCACGCTAGCAGCACCAATGAAGCCGGCTGTCCAAGGGGGGGGGGGTACTCAAATATATTTAGGATAGGGGTGCACAGGGTGTAGTACAAACCATTAACCCAAAAATATAATTTCTAGCATTGAAACTGATCCAAAAAAGTAATTTTTCTCGCCATGTACAAGAAAGTTTGCTATTTTTCTCAATTTTTTAGAACCTTTTCTCATATTCGAGACCCCCAAAAACCGTTCTAAATTTCATGAACCCAGAAAAAATTGTGCAATTGACTGACCCAAAAAAAACTTTTGCTCAAATTCTAGACCCAAAAAGTAACCCGAGCATGCCTATCCTTAAAATGTATGAGTACACCCCCTGGGCCAGCTATAAACTATGCTGTCTTTAATCAGCTAGAGTTTAATAAAGTATTTTTTTTCCAGGGAATACTGTATGCGTACACTATAAGTCACATGATTAGAACCATAATGAACCTGCACGTTGCCTTGTCAAAGCCGATGACGAAATCAGCTGTTTTGGCATTCTGCAGACTTATTGAACTTCTCAAGGTAAGATATTCGAGCCTGACAATTGTAGTTTTCCACAACGTAGGATTTTCTATCAAATTAATCGCTATCATTATCAGTTATTTGAGAAGGCTGAGAATAGCTAACGTAATGCTAATTAAGGCCTTTTCTTGGGGATACGCCAATAAAAGAACCCAACTTGTGCAAATTGTCTATTATATAATCCTGCCTGTTTTTCCCGGTCAGTTTCTTAAAATTTTGTGTTTTCCAAATCTTTTTATAATACGCCTCAAGCTCACTATGATTCTAGGATTGTATCATATGTGACACTGTAGTGCTACCGAAGACATATGGCTTTGCAGATTGTGTATTGTAGTAAAACCGTGCATTTAAGCAAAATGCCAATCCGCAGTCCAATATAGGCGAGGCAAGCTCATCTTACTGTGGACAAGAATTTCTCTGTTTGCCATTGAGTTTATTTTGAATTTCAGTAGGCTGTAAAGAAACCTGGGTTTTGAGAATAACCCTCCTTTTAGAGAAGTGTTAATTGTCTTCTAGACTTTACTTCCCTATGTACCTTTTTCTTAAGGAAGAAATTTAGGACGAAATAATTTGTCTGTTGCTTGGAAGTGTTTACTGTAAAGAAATTTGTATTGACGGACGTTTTACTGTGGTAATGTCAAATACTGGACCAAAGTTTTTGGAAGTCAGGGAAGTGATTTATGCAAACTAATGAAGTATTCTTCCAATGCTGATTCGATTTAGGATATTTGTAGTCCAGACGCTCGGTAGTAATTTCGTAAACTCATTCTTGATCTTCCTTTATTAAGCCATCAAAGCTGCCTCGTAATGAATCCTGTCTCTCTTTGCAGGCAATCGAGAATACGTTCCACCGCAGAAGCATGCTGGTAACAGATATGATCCTCTACATCATTCACTTTCTGTCGGTGAATTCTATCTCAGTTATTGACATTGCTAAGGTGATTAGTTGTTTTGATAAAAACTATAGGAATCAGTTTGGGGAAGCTGAAGAATCCGGTCAGGATAATCTAGTAACATACACTTCGAGGAGCTTTTTGACTGCATTAACGAGTCACAGCTCGCCTAGGGTCAGGGAACGCTCTTCTACAAATATGACATCCTGCAAAACATGATACCTATCCGGATTCTTCATGTCCGCTATTAATGTTTTGTTTTCAATCATAAAGCTGTTTCTGTAATGAGAAAGGAAGGTGTTTTGCTGGTAATGGAGGTGGCACTGTTGATAGTGAGCAATCTATAGCTCGATTGCAAATTAATTTCTGTGATTACATTGAAAGAAATAACCGAGATTGAATGAATTAGTCATTGATAACAAAATTGATGAATATGGATTAATAAGATTTTGAATATAGGGATTTAGTTAAATGTATAAATAGATTAAGAGTTAATGGGTGTATGTAATAGTAGATTAATTTTTAATGTTCTTTCTGGTACCATAGATATAAAATTTATGAACTGGTCACGGCAAGACTCCGAGCTCTGTTGACTGAATGAATAACGTGCAAATTTATGAATGAATAAAGCAAGTGATAAATAAGTTTAACAGGTATATGGGATATGAATTAGTTAGATCATTAGTAAGAAAAAAATGAAGATGAAATTTTAGGTGAAATATCCTGAATAAAACTATAACGTTTTTTCAACACTAAAGTTTCAATGTGAAAAAGGAGTATTAAAGATATTTTTGGAAATTTTTCAAGTGAAGAACGTAGTAGATTAATCTGTTTGATGTAATGAAATATGCGAATCGTCTAGCAGAGTACAAATTTCATATTTGTGTTACGATACAAAGTATAAAAGCACAATTTTCTAATTGTACTTTGTGACCAATAGTCCAACGAATGTCCTTAATTGTTTCGTCATTTCATCTGCAGAATTTGATTACAGCTGACAAAAAATACACAGATCGCAAACTTGTGAGTCATGAGATTACATTTTACAATATCACTTATATGATACTTTTCTTATTGTTAATTTACTTTATATCATATCATAATCTGATGACTGTATTCAGAGTAAAACTCTTATTTCCATCCTGATTTATACACCAAAAGCATGTACAGCCCTGCCTATACGGCACCGAGCTTTTTATGAATGGTAAAACAGTATTTTTCATGATTTATTTTTTATTTTTGTGACTATTCAATGTTTATTCATAAAAATACAGTGTTTTTAGGTACCTTTGTCCTGGAGTTATAACACTGAAAACTTTAATCCTTTCGATTATGCTAAATATTTTGTACAACCATGTTATTTTGCTTCAAGGTTGATTATTAATCATGTTTTGATTTCGTTTTCCAGTTGTTATTTTTCCAAAGATTTTTCAGAAATGTCTTTTGACGGTTTTTAATTCTTAATCCAAACTTGTCTATAATTTTTTGTTTTTAAAAACTTTTAGGATATGATTGCTGCATATCAGCTAGCTCAAAATGCATTAGACGGTGTTGGTAAGTCAATTTTTAAATTCCTTGGATTTTTAAATCTTTATACAACAATGGATTAAATGCCAAATTGCTTTTTTCAATACTTACCTTTTGTAAGATAACTCCTATCTTCAATTATTCTTGAATTTTTCAAAGTTCTTGGTTTTTCTGGCAAACTATCCGATAAAAATTTTTTTAACTTGGTTTTTCATTGGCAGTGTTTTTTAATTTTTTTAGGCACCAAGGAAAGGCGACTAATTTTATCCCTTGCTTTGCAAGCTGGAAGTGCCCAGGTACAAATTATCAATTCATACTATATTTCATATTTATCTCAAACATATCTTTAGCAAAACGAATGTAGAGAGCGTCTGTTGCTTCACGCCAGCAAAATCATGTCAAATTGCAAATCTCATCATTAACATAAGTTTTCGGTAACTCTTTAAGGTTTCAAATGTTTGTTATGCTGTCTATTCTATTCTATTATATCTTTCTTGTAAAACTTGGTTTTATAAAGCACTGCTTTTCGACTAGTGTAGATCTACCCTCTGTACTACATCATCCGATCGAACACACTAATCACTTATTTATTTGAACTAGAACTTCATTTGAAATTTGACTCAGGAACTTCTCATCTTTCCTACGCTTTAAAGAACAATTTATTTTTGTGATCTGAAACATTCGATTTTGTTGAAAGAAAGTGAAAGATTGTTTGAATGCTGCGATTTGATAAAGTGCTTTTCTCCAATCATTTTAGAGAATCTTCAAAGAAGATGAGTATAACAAGCTTCAAGGACTTTTAAGAAAGCTTGAGATACTTGTGGATTTGAGAATTCACATCCGGAATGCTTGCGATTGCAGCTTTCTCTACTGGCACCGCGTAAGTCCTTTTAGAGGCAGGAGATATTGGTTGGTGCCTCTTTTTCAGCACTGTTTAGGATACGATACTCTTTCAACGTATTAACAAAATTCATTCTTGAGGCTATCTAGTACTTACAATCAATAGTCAATCATGTAAGCAACATTTACACATTACTAAAATGTATGTGCAAAGATAAAAGCTGGCATTTGCAAAACGAAAAGTTTTTAAATGTATTTCAAGCGTACCATCCAATGGCACAACAACACATCACTCAAAATGTATCTAACAGTGTAAACAAATAACGTAATCTCTTAACAAATAATACAATGCCTTCACGGCTTATTGTTATTAGATTGCCATCTTATCTTTGCACGAATACTTTCATATTTCAGCTCTTGACTCTATCTTACTTTATTTTTTAATGTTAGCTCCTCTTCAATATACTCTTTGTTTTAATCCGTTTACAGGTTTAATGTTTGCTCGATAAATTATCTTTATTGTGTTAATGAGTAGAAAACAGTAATACGAACTGTTATTTTTTTATGAATACCTCACCAATTTTGCTCTAAAAAAGTGTATATGGACGGTTACAATTCTTTGTAGAATTTGCATCAACAATTTTTCCTAACAAGTGTGTGATTTCCATCGTGAAATTATCCTAATAATTTTGGTGATTACGATTTTAAAAAGCGGGTCAAAACTAACCGATTTTCTTGTTGCTTTCATTTTTAGTTTTTTTCATCCATGATTGAGTTATTATTTTTTGCAGGTAATTATGCCTGTGTACCTGACTGACTTATTTGATAATGCAATTGATGTCCATCGCCTACACGTAAGTGGACAATACTCTTAAACTTCTAAGGCACAATTAGATAATCTGTATAAATTTATGCATCATTTATGTAGTATTGCTTCAATGAGATATTTCTGTTGCATTCATTGGCTCTTTTATGGCGATTTTCGAGTAAATCTCCTGCCTCGTTTCTAGATTTTAATTCGTGATCTTTATCTTTTGCAGTACATTTTTGTTGCCCTTCGTGACTGTGCTCCGCAGCTACGCCTCGGCGGACACGAAGAATCATCTGATGCGCTGGTCGAAGCCTTTGATAAAGAGGTTACAGCAATTTTGAAAGAGGTAAGGTTTTGTGTCATAGAGAACGTGCCCCCCCCCCCCCACCGGCAACAAAACCTGCCTTTGACTAAAAGACGTCTCCTTTTGTTTGGTTAAGCAGGAGTAACTAGAGATAGTATCAATTCACGAGAAGAATTTTTGTTTTAATTGCCAGCTGCGAGTAACTGATAAGACAGGAAATGCCACTTAAAAGTGGAATTCTGTAAAACATAGAAGTTACAAGTTGCGAGGCACAAGTTTGATGAAAATAGCAAGCTAAATGAGCAAAATTGCGAATTATCTTAATGTTATTGCAATTAAATTTTGAGTAGTTTGTGGTGACCATGAGTACACAAACTGATTGAACCCGTTTGTTTCAGTCCTAGGCCAGTAAAACATGTTTTTAACGTATCCAACTTTTCCTTAAAACTGATATACTATAACTGTATCTTATATATATATGAACATATAAATATTAATGATTGATCTGTCTTTTGTAGAATCTTCTGGATCGGTTGTGCAACGCAATTGAAACTGATCTCAGGCTCAGCATCCACCGTCATCTGCAGCTTGATGACAGAAACCCTTTCAAGGTGACTTTCAATTTCGAATTTGATTTTAAGCTTTTTAAATCTGAAGTAGAATTTTATTTGCTATAATTTATTCTTGCATTTTTGTTCGGTTCTACTTGTTTTTTATATTCAACTACCTACAATGAACAGCAACTGCCTGATCCAAAGCATAAAACAATTTAATTGCATTACTGTGAAAAGATATTGCATGTCTAGTACTGAGGGGAATCTTGATTTTGAATGCATTCGAATGTGTATTTTGTGATTTCAAAGGCTATTTTTAAAAAAGTCTATAATTGCTAAGATTTAGAATGGTTTGAATAAAATTACCAAATATAATTTCTAAGCCTCACTTTGTTGTCTTTCATGTACATTTATCTATTAAGTATTTTGGTACTGATGAAAATTAACTTATTGAAGTAACAAAGTCATGAAAAGTATGATGATTTTCATCATATTTTTCGAAAGAGCTTTGAAAACTGTTCTACTTATGTGGTATAAAAAATGGTGATCCTTTAGTAATGTTCACGTCTTTCACTGGCCATACCTGTCAATCAATATCAGCCAATGAACAAGCGTGTGAGTGTTATCACGATCACTGATTGGTCAATTGCTGATTGACAAAAGGATTTGGCCACTTAAAGTGCCCCTTCACCTTGGAGGGAGTTTATGAAAACAAAAGACCAATGAACATAGGAAGTTAGAAAACCATTTTTCGTTGTGTAATTGTAAAGAAATTCAGAAATATAGGGGTTTTATTTCACACCCCTCGCGATGCAGTACCGCGTTTTAAGGGTGGACTGGGAATGAGCCTTAGCTACGTCATACCGGGAACCCATATTGGAATCGTATCTCGACGAAGACCGTGTCTGTGCGTACTTTGTTGAATCTTTCCAATATTTTACCATGTCTTCTTCCGAAAGCGATGTGTCTAATGCGAATGGTAGTTATGATTATGAGTCTGAAGAGAATTATGCTATAGAGGTTGAGGGAAACGAGGAAATAGGTGCCGCCGCGGCCGCTGATGTCGATTCAAGTACGGACGATGATAATGGCCTACTCGAATACGATCCTGTTGCGGACGAAGAGTACGTTCGAAATTATGAAAGGGCTATTCAGGAAAGTCGAGAAGAAGAAAACATCTTATCGAGACGTTTTGAAGGCATTGAACAACTGGACTCTTGGTGAGTTTTTAGTCAAAGACTTTCTACCCCTAGATACCGTATTTCTACAAACCGGAATAGATAGGCACAGACCAAAGTAATAACGATATATTCGAATGTGGGCATGAATGTTTTTCCATCTCATATTAATGTATTTAGGAATCTAATTAAGTTGAATATATGAGTCGTTGGCATCTTAGGGCTCATTTTTCATATATTCTACATTCGAGCCTTAATACTTGAATACCGAAATACGAGGTGCAAATTTAACCAATTTACACCAAAATCAAAGTATTTATCGAAAATTATAACCTCAAATAACAAACTGGTTGAAGGGGCCCCCTGAAAAGTAAAACTTGTGGGTCTTTGATTGAGCCATATTCCCCTTTTGTACGTAATTTACATAATCCAAAAGTGAATACCTAGAGATATAGTAATATAAATGTTTATGTTAAATAGTTATGGATAACTGCCTCAGATCTATAAGGATTATGCCTTTTTCTTTAGGTGCAAATGTGGAAACTGTGCTATAGACAGACTTGCCAATGCTAGAGAATGCAAATGCTGCACTGAAATTAAAGGTTGTATATCATCATTGACAACTGTAGAAGTAAGGCAAGATATTGGCGAACAGACTCCAACATGTGTGGTTGAGCACCCTGGGTTTAAACCAGTGTGCCTCAATAAATGGTCCTTAGGGGTGATAGCACAGAGCTTTAAAAAAAAAGACAAAACAAGATACAAGCGTACTGGATTTGAAAATAAGTAAGTGCATTTTTTTCAAATTTAAGCAACAAATTGCACTTTCACAAGTATACGTATCCAAAGTTAACAGAGTTTTATATACAGTTAACACATTTTCTATTTTCATAAGGCTAAAGTTGTTAAGGGTACCATAGATTTTTTTCCTTTTTTAAAAATTAAATCTAATGTGTGATGGTTTTTTATATGGTTCAATATATTTCATTGTGTTGTGAGTTTTCATTACAAAATAAACATCATTCAGTGTTATCTTTTTCCTTCAGGTTCCTACGAAGTATCTCATACAGATCCTTCACGAGGTTGATACACGGTCGCCTTGGAAACAAAAGAATTCCCTTGCCGGCCTGTGCATATAATGCAATTCGACAAGAATTTCCAGTTTTGGCAGGAAATGCAAAGGGGTTTGAGAGTAATAGTTCAGAGTAAATCTGAGTTTCCAAAAGTAAATTCTTCTCCCTGATACTTTGATACCTTTCTCAACCATACAATTTTAATGTTATTTATTGGTTGGACAGTCGACTTTCTTGTGTCCTTTCATCGGATGCTTACAAACAGAGCATTGAGGCTTTGATCTTTGCTTTGTTGCAGTTTGTACAATTTGGTTAACTGTCATGAAAAAGAAGAAGTTTCTTAATGCTAAGAGGTACATTGTATGTATCTGATTGTATGTATGTAACATATTTTTGCTCTGCAAATCAGGATTATACAGCATGGATTAAGAAAGATGCTTTTATCATTATAATATGATTTTAACCGAGGATATGTTTGATCAATGGGTTATGAAACAATTGCTGACCTGGCATTGTTGGTGGTACATCAGTAGCAACTAATGATTTTCTTGCAGTATGCTTTTCAACAGCTAGAATTCGTGGCTGTTTCTCGAGTGTAGAGTTCATGGGTGGAGGTGTTTGATCCTTCAACTCATTTATAGCATCCTGTAACACTGTTGGTGACTTGATGCCATTAAGGATGGTCTGATAAATGTCTTCCACATAATCTGTCGATATAATTCAGTAAGAGTTTCCTTTATACAGAATGCGAGAATCCTTAATTCTGAAGCTCAAATTTCCTTGATTGTCTATTGCCATTTGTTTTTATTTAATTCAAAATTATAACCTTAACTGCAGCAGGGCTGTATTAGATTTTTTATTGAGTCAAAGTGAAATTCTGTAAAAGCAAATATGTAATTAGAAAACTTTCAGAAAATTAAGTATAATGTTAATTGAGAATTTAAAAAAGGAATTCTAACCAAAATTTTGTGCCACTGGAACATCACGTACTGTTGCGGTACCATTTTTGAATTTTGGGTAGGCTACTTTAATCTGCACAGACCCATTCTTCTTTCTTTTTACACCACGGTTGACATTATAATTGAAATGTATTGCAGCTAGAGCATGCCTGGAATTATCCAATTTTGATATTTTAAAGTATGTACAAAGTTATTTAAAGTTTTTATTTACATCTCATGAAGCTAATATAAATTTTTTTCAAATCTCTAAATATTTGTAAAAAAACCTTTTGATTTCAGGGATTCTGAATCTTTATCAAAACTGACTTGTATATTAATTTGTTACCTGCAGTACATTCCAACATATGAATAACAAATCATCTTTGGTGCAAATTGATTGACTACAGAATGAAAACCTTCCAAACAGCTAGTCTGTGCATCATTTGAAAGCTTCTTTATGCCTTTTAGGAATCCTGGCTTTGTCAGGGCTTTGCAGACTTTTTCGTATGCATCAGAATCTGCAGTTAAATGACATGTTGATAAAATGACAGACAGGTGTAAGATTTGCATTAGTACTGTACATTGAATGAGCTTCTACTTTCGAATGATTAAAAATTTAGCAATTTTCATAACTAACCTTTTAACAACCATTTGCGCTTTGTTAAATCTGGACCATGACTGCAACTACTGAATAATGGGTCGGGTAGATTCTCGTGCTTATTTAGTATGTGGCTTAAAAAGGCTTTGTACTTGGCAAGTATCACATCACCATTCCCATCCATGGTTGTTGTGGCACTCCAATACACATGATTAACACATGATCGTATCCACTCGTTGATGACTTCACAACCCTTTTCTTTGCCAAGTTTTGTTAACATTTTATTCACTTCTGAAGTCAAAAATAAAAAATTATAAGATTTGCAATTGTGTTAATAATGGTAAGATTTGCAATTGTGCTAATAATGGAAGGAAGTTGTGAATCATAATAAACAAAAAAGAAAACACTCTTTGAAAACGTTTGCAAGGCAATTATACGAAGAAAGCTGTTAAACATACTTTTTGCAACATGCCAGATGTCATAACGATGAATTATTTCTGGATGGTTCTCTTGTATAAAGCTTGATATGCCTATGTGGCGATCTGAGACAAATTTGGAAATTGGGACATCTCTCAGCAAAGTCTCGAGACAGAGTTTGAATCCATATAATTCCATAGCACTGCTGCTACCAGCTTGATTTCTCTGGAATGTAAATTATGTACAAAGTATTAAAATGGGCTTTTCTGTATTAACACAGGAAGTATAATATCATGGGTATTTTTGGATGATTTGAAGTAGATACTTGTGTATTGCATGCCTGAATCGCCTGTCTCATATGTTGTATATATAAATGCAAAAAAAAATTCAAGAACAGTCTTTTATTAAATTTTTACCTGCACAAGATCAAAATGTATCACAGCCGACTGAGAGCATGAATAAACCGAATAAGTGCCATATTTTGCACTGTGACCCATGCTGTCATGGCGGGCATCTCCGGCTAGAACAGCAGGATTGCTTTCGTCTTTGAGTGCTCTAAGGAGACCAGCCTGATATACTTTCCAGTGGATATATATAGCTGGAAATAATTTTTCCTGGAAAAGAAACTTGTATGTTATCTATTGGTTGTCAATTCAAACTTTTGTGTACTGAAACTTTCATAAGAAACTTTTGTTATATAATCAAGAAAATATTCTAACTCTTAAGCCTGTTTTGTTTGCCACTCTACTTCCCTAGCCTACATAGGTGCCCTCTTTGTAATTTTGTGTGATCCACTTAACATTTTGCCTGAAACTTAAAGTAAAAAATGAACCCTATACTGCAGCACATTTCTACAAGGATGAAGTTTTTAGTCATAAAATAAAGAAAGACTATTACTTAGCCAGTTTTTTTGGTTCAAAATATAAAAAAATCAATTTCCAAGTAGGGGCATCAACTCATTTTAGATTCAACAGAATTAGCTTCAAATAGCAAATTTGATTAATATTTTGACATGTTTACCCTTTGGTGTTTGAAGAAAGTTGTGAACGAGATTGTGCAAAGATTCATGTGATTGAAAATCTGTCTGACTTTTGAGATTGAGCCCCCAGCTAACAATGTTGACATACAGAGCAGGAAGTTGCCTGCAGGTATGTTAGTTCCAGTCATTTTCGGTTGACTTCTCCAAAGATCTTCTTTCAGACATGCTGGGTTAATACAGTGGCTCCGAACAATCAGCATTGTTCCACATTTAGTTGCTTTAATGTTCGGGTTGTCACTCTTGCAGAAATGACAGAACTTGAAGAGCAACAAGATTTGAACCAAAAATGAGATGAATTTTGGTTCTGTCCGGAGGTTTCCATCTGTAGCTAAGAACCTGTGTTTCAGAATGAAGTAAATTTTGAACATATGCATAACTTGACTAAACAATTTGAAAGATATGTTTTCTTTGCTAATTATCTGCAAAACTGCATAGAATAGTAATGTTTAAAACAAGAAACACTGCAATGTGCAGATAATAAACAACAATGAAACACAAGTGGATTAAAGATAGCTAATATTTTACCTCAGCATATGGGGCTTCATCAGAGCAAAAGTAATGGCATAGTAATGTCTGCGACAACTAAACCAGATTTTAAATTGGTGGGTAGTATACAATCATATTTCACATGTAAATGGTACTAATTAATTTACCTAGAAGCCTCTTCAGTGTCACTTTCTACATCGCTTTCTGTGTCTGAATGATCAGATGGTTCATAAGTTGACATATCTTCATCCTCACAATCAAAATCAAGCTCCTCCAATGATTCATTATCACTTTCCTCAGAACTATCAGCTTCATTTGGAAGATCACTGAACATAATTTTTGTAGAATCGCTCTTTTTAGGTGACCTCTTTGTTTTCCTTACTCTCCCTGAAATCAATTTTTCACCACAATAAAAATGGCTGGATTCAAGTGATGATCCATCCTAAGTATTAAATAGGCATCAGTTCCAAAATAGGCTTTTCAGTGCTCTTTGTGCAATTTTATGATATTATATTTGCACTCTTCTTTGCAAGGTTGCTACCTCAATTAAGGCTATAATGGTAGCACTTTAGTGGAGGGGCAAAGCCCTGTTCAGATCTTTTCAGGAAAGAGGGAGTTGGTATCCCTGGACTTTGGACATTTTTTCCACAGCTTTTGTCACAGAGAGAAAAGTGAAACAGAAGCCTTGAAATTTAAAGGGCCAAATTAAGCTGAAAAGCTTTGTAGAAGGATTTAAGCCATTTAGAAGCCATTTAGAATGCAAGAAACTTCTGGATCAAACAGAATCAATTGCACATTTGGGAAATAATTGGGAAAAACAAAAACCTACATTGTAGTAAAAAAATTTTGTGATAAAATTATTCTTACCATAACACCAAAACTGGATTTTCTTTCAGTCCTCCCTCTATCCCTAGACCTCCCTCCTTATTGAAGGGCTTGACTGGTGCAGTTTTCTGTTTCAAGTTTGTTTAGCAAAAATGCCCACCTATTTTTTAAAGTTTCTTCAAAGATAAAAACTGAATTTGAAAGTGGACCCACCCTTCTCTGACGTCATTGATTTCAATACTTACATAGTACATTTGTTTGAACTTACTTGTCAATTTTTGATTTTTCAGTCTTTGTTTTGATAACAGTACCCTTAAAGTGACGATTCGATTCCTCGCAATACGATTCTGTTTTAAAAGAGCAGTGCAGCTGGGACAAACTTCTTTGTTGCTGACACTAGGAATTTGATGTTGTTGTACCTAGAAAATAATTAGGTGCAAGAGTTACAGGGGGGCGTGTTTTCAAATGTGCAAAATCATGAAAATCTACTAATTAAAAACAAATTTAAACGATAGAAATCTGAATAATTGTTTTCTTCAATACCTCTGGATTATATGATTCATTATCCATGTAGTTTTCGTCTTCCATTGAATGACCAGCAACATTTGGCTGTTCGTCGGTTGCAGCGAGGTTATCTAGGCCTATGGTTGAATCCGTGGTAGAATTCCCTTTGGCTTTGCCCAATGGGATTGTTCTAGACCCTCTCAGGACCTAACAATATAAAAAAATAATACCTTATTGCTCTCGTTCAAAATCTGCTACAAATACGACACAAAACAGTGCCTTACTTCAAAATGCCGGTAGCTAATTTTTATTTAGGCCTGTAGGCCGAAATGTTGTTGTAAATCTAACCATGAAAAGAAACACACCGCAAATAGATTAATGATCTTATCTGGCCAGCATTGATGTAAATATTAAATAAATTCGAATATATTTCATTAGACGACTACCCTGGTAAATCTAACACTGGAGAAAATATCGTGGTTTCTATAACCCCTACCTTTCTTCGCGTTCGGTCCGTCATCATTCCTTCTCTGTCTTTCGCCGTGTTGTTTGACTCTAATATGGTCGGATACGGTACTACCCCAACTTCATCAGTAATAAGCCGTGGGCTTGTCCCTGGGAGCAAAATTTTCCTAGTGAAACTGTCTGGGGTGAAGTGTGCAGAGCAGATGACCGAATGTTTAGATGCTGTCCACTGATCAGCCCGTTTCGAGTTGATGAAGTCGATCCATCTCTTGCGTCTTCTTTTAGCCTCAGGGCGATCATCGTTGTAAAACGGCACTGGATGAAGTGCAATACATCGATTCTTATCGGGTATGTTACTGCAAGTTGGTAAAATGCACCTTGCCGGCATATTGATTTAGTTTTTCAATAGCCTTCCATGTATGCAGGCCTTATATACATTTTTTTGGTTCCCGGTATGACGTCAGAAACATTCGACCGAGGCCACTTTTCATTCATTCGCAGCGCGGCGCTGAATCGAAACTGATTACGTAATGCGTCAATATTTACAACTTTGACGCATTAGAAAACAAAAACTATAAGTCCAATTGCGAAATAGTTTCGATTGACGTAATGTATGTCTAGTATCCTATCGATAAACGTCATAAAAGATTTTAGGTGGAGAGGCACTTTAAGTATCTTTCAATTGCCTTAAGGCTTTAACTGATTTGCAGATTGATGTTGCAATGTCAATTAAAAAATTCTAGGAAAACATCGTAGACGTCACCACCTAACAATGACGTCATTACATCATAAATTGTTTTATGTACAACATGTAATCCTCACGATCTATGTTATTTTTTCCCTTTTTCAGTTTTCATTTCTGATCAGGTGATTGCGAAATGTTTTGGATATTGTATATTTAGGTTAGATATCTCATTAGACTTTGTATTTCATAAATGCTTAAGTTTCAATAAACTGTTTCAGGTTGGGTATAAAGATTTGTCGCAGTTTTTGAAAATGAAGCCTGTGAGGTTCTTTGATAGATTTATCAACATCAAAGGTGAGCCCATTAGATCTTCGAGTGTTTTTGTAAAGCCTCCCAATGAAATGTATTCTCGAAAGGTCTAAACGTCTAAGAGAACGATTAAAATTGTTCGAGTTAACGAAGGATTGACTAATGGAGAGTTCCAACGTATTGGGGAAGGGTCAGTGGGAATGCATATTATCGAGGTTCTAGTGATGAGGTGTTCCAGTGATCAGCTGTTCTAGTGTTCGGGGGTTCTAGTGGTCGGGGGTTTGAGTTAGCGGGACTATATTGTATGACAGCTAAATCATGTTACCTGTTTACCTCTGTAAAGAGGCAGTAAGTGTAGTTTGGTTTTTAAAAGATAGGGCATTGTCTTCGTGGCCGTAGTTTGCTGCCGCAGAAGATGAGCGATAAGATGGTGGTTAACGATATTTGCTGAATCCTAAACGTGTTTTGAAAACCACTGAAACGTCCATGCAAAGAAAATATTTTTTGAAAGAGTCAATTGTATTTGAATAAGTTTGTGGCATTTCTTAACTAGAATTCAATTTAATGTATCGAAATAATGTGAAACTATGCATCTTATCTACCAAAGCCTGGATCGATAGTATATTTGTTTTGATAGCATCATGAAGTTGAAAGTTAATCACAAAGGAGATGGGTTTTGGAAGGGGTAAGGTTGCTCGGCTCCAGTTCTAAGGGTGCAGTTAACCAAGGGAATATTGCTTTTATTGTTTTGGCAGTCCCTTGGAGAGTTAGGGCTCTCAAGAAACATGCTACAAAGCTCCACCATTGACACCAAGTTGTATTCTCTGGCTTACTTAAACATACCCTGCACCTTTGCCCGTTTTTGTTATCGTTTCATTAAATTTCATTTTGAAATATGATCTCGTTCAATTCTGGTTCTATCTGATTACCCTTGAAAAGACAAATTTTGATGCCTTCCCATCACTTAGCTGTATGGCTAAACCTAATTTTTGTCGATTACGCAATAACTGAAATTCTATATATTTATGTTAGCAAATATCGTTATCTTACTTATTCAGTTACGTAACAATATTTATTGCAGATATATCTATGTAGACTGTAGATACATTTAGATAAAAGTCTTGGCATTGCCAGTTTTGTTGTTTCGTTATGTTCATATTAACTGTTCAAAATTTGGCTTCTTTTACTAAATCTCAAATTATTTGGCAAAACACAGATTTTAGTAATTGTATAGATTTATTTATACGAGACATATCTGCCTTTCTGTGTTAGAAGATATTATCTCGTGATGCATTTTTTCGATATTTTAGTTTATGTCACCCATTATTTGGACAAGACATTCTACAATCTAACGACAGTTGCCCTGCACGACTGGAAAACATATGGTGAAATGAGAAACCTTTGTGTACAGAAATATGGCCTCACAATGACAGAAGTTCATTTACCAAGTCAAACGTTAGAGCAGGTGTGAATGTCATATTGCTTACTCTAGGGGGTCAATTGTCAATTCTCTCTGCAGTTATCCAATTTCCAATAGGCTCAAGATCTCCTGAGACAATGAAATAGCCTTGCGACTGTTGAAATAGCTTATGACACAAGTTTATTATGACAAGTTTCTGAAATGGTTGCATTAAAACCCGACGCTTAGGCCCTAATACCAAGCTATTCATAACTGCAAATTTTTGAATCTCAAGCAACTTTTTTCTTTTACCAAAATTGACGCATTTGATGATTTAACGAACTAGTGTTCTTAGCAATGTTGCTTAAATCAAACAGTAGCCGCTTCATTTTCTCTCAACATTTACTTAAGCTTGCAGATTTCGAAGCTTTTAAGACAATTATAAAAGTCTGTATCATTAACAATTTGCTTTTCAAAAAAAATTGAACCTTTTGGTGCATTTCTGCCTGAAGAACAGTTAAACGATATTTATCTCGTTTTCCTATACGAATACGAAATAATACGTTTTGCTAGTAGTAAACTTCACTTTTCTGTATTGAATTTTTCGCAGGGCCTAGACGTCCTTGAAATCATGAGAAATATACACGTTTTTGTTGCAAAATATGCATACAATCTCAACAACCAGGTAAGACAAAGTTGATAGCATGATCATCTTTGTTTGTAGCATTAGTTTTGTCTATTGTATGCTAGGTCACATGTTCCTATTCTAAGACCTCGTTGGACAACATCTATTCTAAGAATAAAAAATGATCTATTCTGAAACGTTCTACCCACTGTTTTCAGCACAGCTTAATATTCTATCATGTATCTTGGTGTTATGTCCTTATTCACTTAGAGATTTTATGAATTATGCTACATATATGTGATCGACATTATCTTCAACATTACGTCGAAATTCATAATTCAAACACAAAGTAGCTTTGGCAAAATAACCATGTTACATGGCAGCTTCCTTCTTGGTACGATTAAATTCGTATATAGCTTGTTTTATCATGGTATATATAATATTTTATTGTATTTGGCGAGTTGACTTTCCTAGTAATCATTTCCCAACCCACAAGCGTGCTTATTCATACATTTTGATACTGCTTCTATATGCCATGTACCCGCTCTTCTCTATTCCAGCACATCTTTCTTCTTACCCTTTTGTTGTTATTTTGTTAGTGTTGTTCTTGTTGTATCCTTTACTATTCTTTTTTTCTTAAAAACAATCTTTCTCAGGAGCTTTTTCACAACTTGAAGCTATTTAAACCACCCTAAATCATTTTAGAATAATAATGAAAGTCAAATCCTAAATATTTTCGCAGTATCCAATCTGATTTGAATCATATCTCAATTTCTGAACAGATCTTCGTAGAGAGAGCCTCGAACAACAAGCATTTGAACACAATTAACATCCGACATATTGCTAATTCTATACGAACTCACGGGACAGGCATCATGAACACAACTGTCAACTTCACCTATCAGTTCCTGCGCAAGAAGTTTTATATCTTCTCACAATTTTTGTATGATGAGCATATCAAAGCGCGACTCTTAAAGGTAACTTTGCTGTTTTATGCAAGCGTATAAATTCCACTAGAATATTGCTAGTAGCTGCTGATTTTTCAATATTCTCTCGTGCCATATTTTATTGCTGTTCGGTATGTAAGGAAGCGTTTAAAGGCATTAGGCGGTGAGTCCGTCCAGGTAGCATGCTTCGAAGAAGTATTGTTTGCCTTGACCAATCAACTTACGGGTAGCTTTATCTAAGCCAATCAAACCAAAGAAAAGCCGGATTCACGTCAGCATTGTGCCTGCCGGACAGACATTTTGACTATTCATAGATTCCTATATTTATAAAAAATACTATTGATGGTTTTTCCTTTTTTTAAAGGACATTCGATTTTTCAAAGAAACTCGAAATGAAACAGATCAGAAAGTGGGTGTTTATTTTAAGCTTACTCGCCAATTTTGTTTTGAACTTTTTATTTACCAATTGTTTACTTCTGTTCTTCTCGATATATTTATTTCCATATTTGAGTTACATGGAGTATCTCCAAAAATGTATGCTATGTGTCAAAACTGAACTTTTCCTGTTGTCTTCCAGTACCCGTTCGAAAGGGCCGAAAATTTTAACAGAGGAATACGAAAACTTGGCGTTGTCGATGGCCAAAGTTATCTCGATCAGTTCCGGTTACTGGTCACACAAATTGGTAAGTAGGAACTCTTATCACCCGCATGTTCCATTTTATTTCAACTAAAAATAGAGCAATTTTATTGCTACTCATGGCTTTGTCTGAAAAATGTTGTTTGTTCTCGAGATCAGTAGAAATGTGGCCTAGACAGAATCAATTATAACTGCTTGTAGCAAATGAAGTTTTTCATTCTTCATCACCTGGTACAAATTTTTACAATTTTTTAAACTCATAAGACGTCACTGTCATGTTACTATTATCAAGAATTGTGACTTTCCCTGCCGCAATCAACTCATGAAGTATCACTGACAAAACTAAATTAGAATTGATAACGTTCCTTGGTTGATAGGAGAAATTCTATTTTAATAAAGATTTCTACTTTTTAAGGAAATGCAATGGGCTATATTAGAATGATCCGATCTGGTGGCCTCCATTACGTCAGCAATGCTGTGAGGTACGTAAAATATGCTTCGTTTATGAGCATTTTGCACGAAAATGTTTATTAGATTAGAATTTCTTGTGACGTTTAAGGATTTCTGTGATGCCATCAAGAGGGATGGTGTTCAGGAAATTGTTTTTCAGTTTCATGGGAGGTTATACCTCATGCATTCTCGTATCTGCCATGAATGCATTTTTCTGTTGTGGAAGTTTGGATTGAGCTGAACCAAAATACGTTCATAGCAAATAAAAAGTTGTTCGAAGTTGGTTTTCAATATTTTGTAAATTAAGAAACAGTAATTTAATTTGCACTAACTTAAAGTAAATTTAGCAATAGTTGATATGGAAAATAGTAAATAGCCAATTGAAATGGTTGGCACTCATGAAAAAAGCTAACTTGGCACGCATAGAATGGTTGCTGTGAATATGTTAGGAATAGATTTTCATGTTGACTCCGCCGAATACGTTGTATATTTTTAATCAAGCGGAGGAGCAGTGCACCTCTGTTTTGGCGCGTTAACTTGAAATTTAATCAAAGCATGAATTGGCGAAACACGGGCAAGCAACAAAAATAAATTGGCGAAACACTTGTATTTTATTCTTGGACATTATTTGCTTCTCGCATATTGATAAAAACTAGTTAATCATTTAGAGCAGCGATTGAGATTAACAGGAAAACACTTAGAAAGATTTTATTACAAATGTTAGGAAGAGTTGTTGATTTTTTGTCCAGTTGATGCTTTAGAATTCCATGATAAGGGGGTAGGGGGTGTACCACGACAGATGTGTGAAAAGTGCGCGACTCTACAAAGCGAGGTTGCCCGTGGGGAAGGAAAGGAGGAAGGTGAGAAAAGAAGACCAAGAACAATAAGACAGGAAGGAAAGAGAGAAAAATGAAGAGTAAATTGAAGGACTGGAAGAAAAAAAAGAGAAAGATAGTTTGTAGAAAGTTTAGAAACAGTGAAAAATTTTCATTGGAAAAACATGTACAAGAACAAAGTGAACTTTAGTGTAGGAGAACATGTTGATATGACTCCATAAATATTCTAGATGGCGTGCGGTACAATATAATGCTATAATAACGATCAATGTAAGTAAGTTGTACCAGGAAAATTTTTTTTAAATAAATAAATAACGACGTTTCAAGCATAGCCCGTTATCAAGATAATAACGAGCTATGCTCGAAACGTCGTTATTTTTATATTAAAAATTTTTTCCTGGTACAACTTACTTACACTGATCGTTATTATGTTGATATGACCTTTGCTGTAAAACTTTGACTTTGGCTAGGTAAGGGTAATCAGGAAACAGATATCTGGGTAAGAAAATCATAATTAATAAGTCAGCATATGTTTTTGTAATTAATTTAGCGGATAAAGTCCCTGTCCAAAGCAATTACGTGGCAGTACCTGAGCCGCTTCACTCAGACGTCAAAGCGTACACATTGAAGACTCGTTAAATCGAAATTTTAATCTTCATTCGCATTCACCATATAGTTATCCGGTTGTCTGTGTGCGTAAAAAGGATAAATCTTGAAGACTTTGCGTAGATTTTTGTGCCTTAAGGCAAAGAATTGTACCAGATCGTCGTCCAATCCCTCGGATCAAGGAAACATTCAATAATTTAGGAGGTAACGCTTGGTTTTCAGTACTAGACCAGCATAAGTCTACTGAACAACCGAATAGTTGAGAATGGTAGCGAGTTGTAGAGAAAAACCGTAAAATCCCTTGATAAAGTGACAAACCTAGGCTGAAATAGATCATCAACACTTTAGATGCAATACCGTAATATTCCAAATATATTTCCAGAGCATATAACGGTTCAAATACTGTTTTGGGGGGACTTATATTTGGGGAACTATATTGGTGAGGGGGACCATAATCGGAATTAAGTCAATGTCTGAAGAAAATTCAAAATCAGTTTTTTAAAGCCTGAACGAAAATATAGGTCATGTTATATAAAAATAGGCACGAAATAAACAAATAAACATCAACTTGGAGGTGTCATTTTTTTTGTTCAGTTAACGTGAGCCTAAACCTTTTATTTTTCATTTTTCAGGTTTGTGCCCGATCTTGAAGACATAGTCTCCTTTGAAGAGCTGACAACAGAAGCTAAGCTCGGCGATGAAACCACAGACGCCTCCAAGTAGGCATAATTTCTTTTCGCGTTATTATTTATTCATAACTGCTTGGCATCAAAACCAGTGTTTTTGTTTATCGAGAAGAACTTTGGATATTCAGTTATTGAGACTAACACCTGCCTGGGAATTTTGTTTGCAAGCACCATTCTTTTTGCAGTAACAATCGATTTATCATACCCGTTTTGTTTGTGCCCACCGCTTACTTATGTACTTGATATTACCCTGCATTTCAAGGCCGACTCAATTCGTTGCTTCATCTTCTGTTAATATTTGAGAAACTAGCGTATACAAAGATTAGAAGATGAAGCCGATTCATTTTTTATTGAAATGTTGATCGATTGACAGAAAAACTTTTTTCTATTAGAATTTGGTTTTAATGATGAATATTTGACCAAAATAATGAGTTATGTTGAAGTAAACCTCAGTTTCTGCCAAATTTAATGATAGTGGATTATTTACATCTGAAGAAATGTGTTAAATTTTAGATAGAATTTTTGTTGTTGGAACCATACCATAAGGACCGAAAGCGAAGACGGTCATGGAATGAATGAGTTAATAGCCCAGGCTTTGACTGCGTAATCATAACAATCATGATCATGAAATCAGTGTTACACGCAGTTAAAGACTCATTGCTAACAATGGACCTTTGCGAGCGTGACGATGATCCAAACAATGGCAGTAAACTTCTACGGATTAACCAAAATTGATTTCAAACTGTCTAAAAATGTATTATGGGATGCTTGCGTAGCGCAATGGCTCATTGTTAGCAATGAGTCTTTAATGTCCCTTCATTGCAAAGATTAACTTGCTAGAATTATCAAAGAGAATGGGTTTGTTATTTAACAAGGTGGGATTTCTTTGAATCAAGATAAGTCACATTTTTTCTCAACGCGTCACTGATAAAACAAATGATTGTTGTAAAGCACAAGAAAAGCAAGGCCAAGCCAGGTTGAACAGTAGTCATTCTATACTGAAATATTTGTTCATTGACGATAACAAAGTCAAGAATTAGCTTAGCTGCTTTTTATTATCTTGAAAGTCGCTGTGTGATTCAGTGTCTGTACCAAGGACGCAAATTAAAGTAAAGCTTTTCAGAAGTTATCAGCCAAGAAACCCCTAAAAATCATGTAAAGCTTGCCATGATGCAAATTTTGGAAATCTTTTTCTTTACCACCTTCCCTGCGTTAAATTCTTCTCTCCTTTGCGATAATGGTTATGCTTTTTTGGATGTATTGGTTTTACAGCACCTCTCATAATTATATTCTTTTTCGTCCGTAGGAAGGTTGATGGTGCCTTATCCGACCTGACCAAAAATTTTGCCGAAGGAACTGAGTATTTTAAGGTGATTTACTGCGATTTTCGAGCAACTTGTAACAAGCTCGATCTTATTCTTTATCCTTAGACTCATGAGTTACTTTTTGGTGTCAAGTGCCATTATAACCATTTGAATTCTAACGCGCCAGTTTGCTACGTAAAATTTGTCTCATTTTTCAGCATTTTCTTTTGACTCAAAAGCTAAACAAAAATTTTCAAGACTCTTGTTTACAGCTTTCATAACAACAATTCACCTACGTACCTTTTTTGTTAATCTACCGTTTCAACATTTGTGTCATACTGTTTAATTGATATTTACGTTTTTTATTTCAATTAATAATTATTTGTTTTGTGTTGATAGATTAAAGTTGTTCAAATCACCTTAGTTTTTATTTCAAGTTTGATTTCTTATGCCTTTCTAATGATCTTCTGAATTTTGAATTATCTAGATGTTAGTGGGCGTCTTCGCATCACAGTTTCGCGATTCCAAAAACATGCATCTGAAGAACTTTTACATCATCTTGCCACCGTTGGTATGTACTCGAACTACAATCCCGGACAAAAATGTTGAGACAAAATGCAATTTTTGTAATTCTCTACTTCACCTTGCCCCTGTAAATTCGAATCCCCCCCCCTTTCCCCGAGGCAATGCTGGATTTGTAGTTCTATCATTTCTCCTTGAAAATCATGCAGTCAACATTGAATTGGGGGAGGGGGAAAGTTACCTTTTGAAGGAAAGTGATAATACAAGCTTTCCTTGAAAAGTCTCAACCATTTTTGTCCGGTATTGTCGCTATAGTTCATGATCCTAAAATTTGACCTTTGACATGACTGGGTATTCACAACTTTTTGCTTGATATCAGATGCACAGGTCGTGAAATACAATGAGACTTCGAATTCGGCAACAAGTTTTGCAAAGCTTCCAATTCTAAGTACAAGTTATGTCACTTTATTCACTATCGAGGGTTCGCGAAAAAATCTTTTTAAGTATGTTTATAATGTATGTTTAAAAAATTTGAAAAATACGAAAAAGTATGTTTATGAGCTATTTTAACTTATTGGTGCCATTCTCAAGTTATTATTTGCTTTGCAGCATGTTGCGATTGTTATAATGCTTATAGCAAGATATTTTTGTGTTGCAAGATTTCCTATTCTCAGTCAAACACTTTTGATGCTACCATTAAACAATGGACAGCTCCTTGCCGTGAACAGTATCTCTGATTCTCACACATGCCCACTATTTCTAGGTCCTTGTTTTTTAGAGTAATTATGATTTTTCACCGCTGTCAATAAACTGATTTTCTACTTTGTCGTAGATTTTGAATTTTGTCGAGCATTCTATGAACAGCAAGGAGAAAATGAACAAGAAAAACAAAGTCGGTGCTGGGTTTACGGACGATGGTTTTGTGATGGGTATAGCGTACATTCTGAAACTGCTTGATCAGTACAGCGAGTTTGATGCATTGCATTGGTTTCACTCCGTCAATGACAAATACAACAAAGAAAAGGTAGATCATTTTTACCACCAATTCGCTTGTTTTTCCCTATTTTCATGTTAAATTTTTTTCAGTTTCCTGATCTGTCATTTTTGCACTGTGCTGTTTTTCCTTTGCCATAGCTATTTAATTTTGACTCCTTCACAGAGTCAATACAGATTTGTTACTGCGCGGTTTCACAACTATTTTAATTTTTTCTTTGTTCTTGTTTTTTAGTTTATTTTTTCCAACATACACATAAGGCCTATATTGCCTTTAAGCAACGCTTTGTGTCAAGTTATGTCAGTTTTTTTCATATCGTCTTTGCATTTTGTATCTCCTTGATTTCTTATCAGATTCATTTTTCAGCTGCAGTTTACCGATATATAATGCAGATCAGATCGAGCATAACGACTGTTAGTAAAATACATACCCTTAACATGCATAAAATTTTTTTTACAGCAAAACACGGTTACCAAAGCTCGTGAAGGAAAAGATGAAAAGCTGCAACAAGCAACGAACCTTACATTGAGACGACTCAATGATTATCAAAGAGTAAGTTTTAATATTATTTGAAATAGTTTATTTATTGTAAAATCACTGCATTGCAAATTCTCGACCTTCTGTAGACCTTAGGCTCATAGTGCCTATTGTGTTAGCTCTTTTAAAATTGAGTTTTTGACTTTGTTACCAAGCATTTTGATATGAGCATCACGGGTGTTTGGTTTGGATGGCAGAATCGATGCCGTTTTGTAGGAAAGGAAATTGTTAGGGACTAGCAAATAGAATTTGACATTCTGTCGATCAGATCTACCACGATTTGCCTCTGTTTTAATATAATGATGAAATTGCCATAAATGATTCTCTTTTTGTGATGATCAAGGATTTACTGAATACAAATGCCTTCAGCTGGAGTTTTGAGTATTTACCGCAAATTAGTTTCCAAATTATTTTGATACAACTTACAAGATTTTCCACCGAATAAAATTCATCAGAATCAGAAACATTTGACATGACGTGGCTAATTCTGCGTTTATAAAATCTTATAATACACTGGAATTGATATTTGTAAACAACGAAAATGGTCTATTCTTGTTTTGATTAACTCAGTTGTTGCCATGAAAACGTCAATATCATCATTGAAATCAGATGTAACAAGACTCAACAACAAGGGATCACAAATTCAAAAAGTTAGGCCAGCCAAGTCTTTGATTACCATACAAGCTCCAGGTGTTCTTGATATCTTGGAATCTACTGAAGTTTTAATTTGCTGCAAGTTTTTGGACGAGCTATGAATTTTCTAGTACTTTCTTGTCGTTGACTCTGTTTTCGATAAAATGATCTTATTTTCTTTTCTAGGAATTTGAATTAGTTTATTATTCACTGAGCAGCGCAAGAATTTTCTTCAGGGCCGATAGGACAGCTGCGGAGGAGTCCGAAGAAAAATCCCAAAAAACCAGTGCAGGTTTGTAATAGGAGATTTACGACTGCTGTTTAACGAGCCACCTTTTTCATTGTCTCTCACCTTATGATTTGATAAACTAGACGTTAAGGGTTTTTTGTAATGAATGTTTCAGATGTGATCAGATGAGAGCGTTATATAGAATATGTTTAACTTATCAAAAACACCATTCTTTATCTTCAGTACAGTTAACTAGGATATTTAAAATCCATATTTCCTTTATAAGCTGAATAATTGTTTTTAGAGAATATGAAAAGGATTTTAACGCTGATACGCAAAGAAGGAAGGAGTTTTATAGGAGAGGAAGGGGTGTTGTGCAAACTGTTATGATTCACCGCTCTGTTGTAATTACTATTAGAACGAACACTATCAGCTAAAATGGATGAACTGAAAAGGTGGAAGGAGGCCCAAAGGTGGCAATTAAAATATACTGAAAATATTATCATTATTAATCCCTTCTAAGCATGGGCAAATACACAAACGCCCAATACCTGATTCTTACTCCCACCTTAGGTAATGAACAAGTAACTTACTTTAGGTTGTTAAAATTAAGATCAAGTAGCCTTAGGTTAAGATCAAGTTAAGATCTAGTCTAGTTTTGTTCGTATGTAGGAAATTTAAATTTAAAGAAGATTGAATGAAGTGGTTTAGGCCCGCGCGCAAGGGCTTTAAGCCTCGGTTACGTGACGAGTTGACGATGTTTTTGCCTACAGTTGTGACTGTTCAATTGAACTGACTTTTTCTAGCGTCTTCAAGCGGAAATGGGTTGGTGTTTCTTTGAGCTTGTTGTATAAACCATTGAGCTTGGTTTTGCTGCAAGAGATGCAGTACAAATGGATGCTGCTAATTAGAAAATCTTTTATAGAAAAAATCAAATGCATTTAATCCTGTATACATTGAAATCAGAATCGCGTATTTCCAAACTATAGGAAAAAATCTCTGTTTTTTCTATACGTTTGTTGATCTTATATGACTTATTCGTAAGTCAGATTTCGAGGGGTATATCAAACTATCGAAACAGTGTACCATGTTCTCTAGGGCAGTAGCATTTTGGGGGGCATTTTTGTCGAAAATCGTAAGAATTTATGTCAAAGATTCTGATTCTGGTATACCTTCGTTTATCGAGAGTTGCTAGGGTGTATTGAGAGCCACGTGTATAATTTTATCACCATTATATAATTTACATTTTTGATTGCTGAATCAAGCGCTTGACATTTGTGATCTATTTTGTAGATACACCACAAGCTTCAGAGACAGAAACAGCAACAACCGCATAGTGACGTCATTAGTCAGCTGAGTCAGGAATAGAACTGCTTGATAGAAGCGAAGGTACATAGGTTATCCCCGTATTCACCCGTATACTCTGCTTTGTTAAATGAGATTAAACATTAGGTATTCTGGAAAGCGCTTTATTGGAAGGTTAGAGTTTTCATAAGGGTCATAGCAAAGATACAAATTGATTCCCATTTCCATTATGATGATTATGTTTACTTGGCCTCCAATTCCAACTTTTTGGCCTCCAATTCAACATCGACCTTTAAGGTAACCATCTTCATCAACAAAATCCCCTGTCTTTGATATAACCACTATTACCAGAATAAGTTGCCTAATAGTGAAGATGATTGGCAAAGAAATGAAACGTTTATTGAGACACTATATTAAGAGACTCTCCTCCATATGACTTTTGAAGCAAAATTTCAGCAGAGCCTAAGATTTGCTCTCAATCTTTTAATCGGCTTTGATTTGTTATTATCTCATAACTTGATCAGAACAGGCGTGTGAATCGGTGAGCCTATCCTTAACTAAACTCTAGACACTACGATTCAAGAATAAAGAAAAACAAAATTGTTCTGATGGGTAATTTCACAACTGATTTGTATATAAGACGATGAGCATGTATTTCATTATATCTGATATAATTGGTTTTGTAATTTTGAATAGTTTTGTAAGCTTTAAAGTTTACAAATGAAGAAAAGAAATTTATGATAATCTTTGACTGTTTTTTTCACTGAAACAAAATCGGAATAAACTGGTGATTTTGTTAAACAAATGAAGTTCGGCTTTGCTTTTGTGCATTCTTTTACATTGACTGCTTTTTCTAGGATTGATGTATTTCATGATATTGTTCATGTAACTTCTTTATTCTAAATAGGGCTATACTAAAGACAACGAGTTTAGACTGTTCTCATTAATAAAGTATGAGTGTTAATTTGCCAGAAGATTTTTTTAAAGTAAATTTTTTAAACAGGTCAGACCTTGAATGATTTCATTTGCCAAGTCTTTTTGAGTAAACATGGCTTTAAGGTCTTTAAGGAAAGTGAATTTTGTGATTATGACGAAACGGCGAAGTGAAATAAAAGAAATTAGTGAAAGTGAAATTAGCGAAGAAAATCGAATATTTTCCCCCCGAACTGGGATTTTTTTTAAAATAAACATGTTAGATTGTATTTTATATTTCATGTACCTTCTGAATTCACTGAAACAGATCGAAAGCACTATTCACATTTCACCAGTAGGACGCGAGGCGTCCGTTTTTGGAGGTTACTTCAAACAACTTATTTTTCCGTTTTTGATGTGTATGTGACTAGGAAAATTCCATTTGTTGACGTTTTACCGATAACATTTCATTCCATTTACTTAACTTCTTTTTATCCAAATAATTTCTGCTTCTCAAATACTTCAGCCTTGATCACTGTCTTAACTTCAAAATCACAAGCTTTTTCTAGTATAACTGAGTGGCCACAATTTGAGCTGTCATAAGGGATACACAATTGACCCAGTAATTCCTTAAGGCTTGGAAAATAAATACGAATGCATTTCCTTTGCACATCAAATATTCTTGGAGAACAAAAGGAACAAGGCTATGAAGTTAGCAACTACCTTGTTATTGGTAAAACATATAGAATACAAAAGAGCCAAGTATTTTTGAAATTGCTTTGCCTATTTCTCGACAGAAAATAATTGTTGGTGATTTACTGTACATTTCGTAACATTCGATTCTTCAACTACATTAGAAATATGTCAAAATTCAGCTAATCATGACGTGAACGAGAAGATTTGAAAATCAGGCAAAATATTTCAAGCAAAGGTTCTGTTTTATAACACTGATATGATTCTCAAATTTCAAAGTGCAGCCTGGTCCCTTTTGGAATTTTGGTACCTCTCAATTTCCGAACACCCATTTTCTAATAAGAAGGAAAGAAGGAATCTCTCTGCCCCGTTGCTTGATTTTTTTCAACGTTGAATCGAAACAATTAGTTTCTTAAAAAGCAGGTTTAATTCAAAGCAAATCGTTTTCGCCATATCTCCTGAGAAGGAAAAGAATCGTATCATTGTATTCATGTCTTGCAGTTTCGATCTTAATGAGCCTTATTAGGAAGAAGGCCCTGATAGTTAGCTCAAACTTAGATATAAATACCGTAAATCCTCGAATTAGCCCCCTGGGGGCTTACTTATTTTTTATATTTTTGGATGGGGGCCTATTCGAGGGGGCTTATACGAGGGGGGACTTATTGTAGACTTTAAAAGGACATTATTAAAAGACCTCGTTTATTTTAGTAGGAATTTCTTTATGAGCATCTAATTAATTACAACCAAAAGTATGAATTTGTTGTGGTAATTCAATGAAACGCCATATGCAAACTCAGATGGCGAAAATCATCAAATTGAGGGGTCCAATTCGAGAATTTACGGTAGCAGTGGGGGCTTATTCGAGGGGGGGGGCTTATTGGCGATTTGTAGATCTAAGGTGGGGGCTTATTCGAGGGAGGGTTTTTTGGAGGGTGGGGGGGGGCCAATTCGAGGATTTACGGTACGTCATCAAATTTTTATGCGTTACAATGTAATAGGGCCTAGTGGTGCAAGAGACACGTCCAATGGCAGCACCACTATTTGTAAAATTTGCGTTTCCTGTTGGTAAAAGAGAGATTTCATACAGTAGAAAAGGGCGTGGCCTAATTTTTATTTCCGCCTTCTCCAGTGACTAATGATATCCTCTCTTTGGAGGGATGGTTCATTAATCCTTGTTTGAACACAAGTGTGCCCCAGATGGCCTCAACTCGCTATACCCAACCTTTCGATGTTTCTAATGCATTACTATTCAGGAAGCTTATGTTTGACCAGCCTGTGTCCCAGACCCCTAGCTTCAAAGATAGGGGTCTAGTCCATAGGCTAATGTTTGACTATCAATAAATGTTAGGGTAGAGGTAGGGCTCTCTGTGTCAACCGAATATGGGTTTTGGTTGGTGGCCGTGGCGCCATTTCCATTGGTGGCACAGCCATTTCTGAAAAAAGACTAACAAAGATACTAAAGTAGATTATTTTCAAATTGCATAGCAAAAACAAGTTAAAAATTAGGATGGGGGCAAGTGTAAATTACAAACTCTTTTCAAAAGACTTTGTACCTAAATTACTTTATTTTCCAGCAAAGTTGAGGTGCCATACAGCCCCTATAAGTCATGAGAATATATTTTGTATATGTTTCGTCATAACATGTTATGCATTATTTCATCTTTGCTCATTGCAAAATTCAATGTTTTGATCTTGGCCCTTGGACAAGTTTGCAAGCAAAAATTATTTTTATGGAAATTTTAGTAGTTTAACTTCTGTCTTTGATTATTTTAGTTGTTAAATCTATTAAAGATTTTCTTATACAATGTCATACATGAAAATATGCATTTGTGGTAGGATTTAAATTTCAAATCTTCATAGGACTCAACTTTGTTGCTCATAAATTGCGATGGTTTAATAGACAATTTTTTTAACTCTACGACAGTAATCTCGGTTGCAGGTTGATAAGGGAAACTAGAAGCATTTAATGTTGGAGGGGCACATGTGGGAAAGAGCATATGTAGGACGGGAAACCATGTCTCAGAAAAAAAGCATTTGTCTAAAACTTCAAAGAGAAATCCTTTTAGTAGAGGGAGGTTTTACGAAATTTTAGAGCATTCCCCGGAATTTACAACCGTGAGCTGGGTTAGACTAGAGCAGTGGCGAAAATTATTGGGGATTGGGGAGTCGATCCCCTCCCAATTCGAATTTTATGTTGGAAAATTCGGTTTTCAAACCCCTGACTTCCTCTCATGTCTGAGCCGTACCCCAATTGAAAATTTGAATTTCCGCTCCTGGTCCCGGGCTACAGCCGCGAGCTTTTCAGTCATATTTGCAAGCAAACCTCGCTTAACCACTCAGGGATAGACTCGTAGGTACGAAATTCATATTTGGGGCTGCCTATTATATTGCTTCCCATCAGTACACTATAGGACAGTACGAAAATATAGTACAGGTTGCCAATTATTGGGGAGCTAGAGCCCAAACCCCAAGCCCCTCCCCCTGCCTCCGATTGCCTTGAGGGATTGTGTGAATCTTTGGTTCAAGATGTTGTTTACCACTACACATTTCTCCTCATCGTGAACTTTTTGAATATCAAACTGTTCAGAAACGATATTTTTATGAAAATAATTCGCCCATAGGAGTTTCTCCCAAAGTGTTTCCTGTTCAAAAGCAAGTGACTTCGCTTGCCCCTGCGAAGCACTGGTCTGCATATCCACATCATTGTTGTCAGACTTGTGGGAAGACAACTATGGTTTGGGAATTTCAGGCAAAATAGAAAGCTTAAATGATTTATAGAACGATTAAGCACTGTCACTAGATAGCAAGGTTCTTTATTCATTACAGGCTATTCACTATTTTTTCAATATGTTGTACTAGAGTCAGGAAGAGGCGAATATTATAGAGCGGTAGGTGACCGGCCTAAGGAAGGGTCAAATAGGGAACAAGGTCGAGGAAAAGAATTTTGAGCAAAACTTCGTCACTTGCAGGGATCGAGAAGCGAATGAGGATGTCGGCAATAGGAAGGAAGGACAAACAGTCTCTGCTGGATTTGGATAATAAAGTTAAAGGTATGATCAGTCGATTTGTTTATTTTCAATCCAAAATTGCATACCATTTATATAAGCCTGAACGAAGCTTTTCAGTAACAGCCCAACTTCCGAAATAACTGTCGGTGATATTATCTCAGTGAATGTTAAGTTTTTTCGCTAGTCCGACTTCCATGACATTTTATGTTGTCACTATGCACTACTCTGACAAATTAAGTCTTCACTAAAAAACAGATCCCCTGTCTGAATGGATCATTCTGACTGATGAGCCAATCCATAAAACATATATCTTTCTATTTACAGATGTACTTTTCGATAATCAAAGCGAAAACATTAGCGCTCTATTTTCAGTAATAATTTCAGGAAATTGATTCGCCACACATTTTCCCACCTCTTTGGTGTTATTGGCGATTGAGGAAGGACATTCAATTTCGATAGGGACAATGTTTTCACTGATAACTTTGAGGCCAACTTTCGTGTTTGCTGTACGAGCCATCACATGGGAAAGGATTAGTAAATTTCACATAGGTGGAATTTTGATAAGATTTTACGGAAGTCAAATAAGCAGCATGATATTGGGCTAACAAATTTCATGGCGATAACTCAAGATTCATAGCGATATCTCAAGATTTGATGATAAAGAGATAGGTATAAAACAGAGCGAAAAGATCAAATAGTTGGGAAATCGTGGTTGCTTGACGAGCGATGTAGTTGGGAATGTTTAACTTAAAATTGTTATGATAAAGAGTAGGTTAACAGGTGGTAAATTGTGTTCCACATCCGACAATTCTTACCAGACAAGAGTATGGGCCATTTTGTTTGTGAAATCAAATCATATCGATTAAGATGCAAAAAAGTGAGACTGTGGTTATGTGACTTTCATACCAATCCACAAGTGAATGCTGTCTATCGAATAAAATTTCCCGTTAACAACAAGTCTATTCCGTCATATGCAGATGCTAAGATTCCTGTCTACCCCAAGTTTCATATCAAGATTTCTGATCTAGATGTTTTCAAATTGCAACACACCCAAAAGTTATATCACCAGCCACATCAGTATTGGAATTCTTTCTTAATTGCACTAATTACCATATTTAGCTGTTTCTGTCCATATTAAACTTGAATAGTTAATTCTTTAAACTACAGATTGCAATACTTTTTCTATTGAAAATTTTTAAGTATAGGTTTGTTAAACTTGACATAAAAATGTAAACTTTTGCACCTCCCTGTTCTATGAACCAATGCATAATTTAATCTTTTAATAAGAGGGTATAACTTTTATGATATTGTTGCGGTATTGCTATTTGTGGGCCTGAGACTAACCACATAAATTTACTTCATACTGATATTTTCAAAATTGGGTTTGTCAAGGATCTTTACAAAATAATTGCTGCCATAATCCTTTAAATCTACAGTGATCACATTGAAATTAAAGGATGCTCACATGTTATTCAGGCATGAAAAAATATACTTGTCCTTTGTATTATATAGTTAATTAAATAGCAATTTTTAAAGCTTGATGTCAAATAAGATGCAAATGTTTGGATCAGTCTCCTTAAATTATGTTACAATTTTCTTGATATCAACAAGCTCTATTTTCATGAAATGGGAAAATAGCTGCTTAATTTGTTATAGGAGAAATTAGAATAAAATTAGAAATATGTATTCATATTTCCTTTTCTTTTTTCATGAATTGCAGTATTTTTGTGATTTTGAAAATATGAGAATAATCAGTATGTAAGCAATTTTGTGGCCTGCTTGTTATGTGATGGGAGTATTGCTAAGTGTTGTATCAACCAGTCTAGATCAACAAGATTTTTCATCTATCATGATATTTCAAAATGATAAATAGGTCACTACTTCTGATAAAGCAAATGTTTGAAGCATGTTCCTAGTCACACGTGTCTGTCTGGAAAATTGCCTGAATAACTGGGAACTTGTTTAGTCACTAAGCAATTCAGTTCAAGACATGTGGTGGTTACATTGTGTAAGTAGATGGTGGAAGTTAAACAAAATGCAGTTTGATTATTAAAAGTGCAAGACAGCCAACAAGGGGGATCTGTAAATTTCCAAATAGAAGCCCTGTAAATTTCCTCCTACCCGTTTGAAGGAAGTAGTATTAATTGAAATTCAGTTTGACCAATGTTTTTATGTAATTGGCTACTCTGAATATAGCCTTTCAGTATGCACACTTTACCTGCCTAAATCATGCCCCCTAGAATTGAAGGGGCCAAGACCCCCTAAATGTTTTGTTGGAAAAGTCCCTGCCATACCTAAATTAAATTTTTCTTCCTTTAGGTTATAATTTTAAGTTATAACAGTCTCTAGTTTTATAAATATGATTCTCAATTGGATGTAAATAATATGGTTATTTATCAGCCACCAAGCAGTGAAAAATGTTAGATTATAATAAATATTAATAAGAAATAATAAATAATAAACAATTTATTTAGAGTTGGCGGAGAAAATAGCGTTTAGCTAATTAAGGCCAACTATACAAAATGTACAAATTACAATTTACAAAATATATTAATTACAAAAAACCTAGATTTGGAACAAAATCGTTGCACAATTTGCAGCTACAGTCCAAGGTTTTGATGGACTTAATATTTCTTTTAAATATTTCCAGTGATCGGGACTTCTTGTCTGCTTCAAAACATAAATCTTCTGTTTTTTATTTGGCCTAACAAACCTTTCCATCTGAATGATTAAACTGAACTACTATCAATCTAATTAGAATTCAATATCAACTTTCTTTGATCAGTAAATTAGCCAAAACTGATTGAAAATTAAAAGACTGAAAATTACTACTGCCATCCACATTTGTTTATCAAAGTGCAATGTAAAAACTAGAAAGTGATGCATAACTGGTTAATAAATAATACGTTTGTTTTATCCTATTTGTCAAATTGAAATTGCTGTTTAAATGAATTATTGCAGGATGGCCAAGTGAGGGGTATTTTTTGTCAAGCAAAGGGTCAACAGGCATTAGTTGCCCTGGGGCTCAGCCTTGCTTTTGGCAATCTTGAATGATGGTAATCGATAAATGCAAATAAAGATTTCTCGATATGTTTTTTTTAAATTTTTTGTAGCTTTAGTTGTTGCTTAATGGTTTCTTGGATCATTAAGCACATCAAGGACACATTGTGCTTTACTCTCAACAAATAATACTCTTGGTCCTTCTGACAGCCTTTAGTCATTCAGAAGGCATTATCTGCCATTCAGTTTGATACAGGACATACCATTTTCTACAATGCAGGTTTTGCCAAAAGAGAAATAACTGCCAAACTGATAATGTGATGCTTGCCCTTTGATTTGTGCAAGAAAAAGTGATTCATTGTAGAATACTTTCACTTTCTGTCCACCCATTTGGTTTTTGAAGCGAAACGTTCCTGAAAAGGGGTAATTAATGAAACCAGTATAGACTTGAATTGTCTTTTACTTTAATGTTCAAAAATTGTCCAGCCATTCCTATAAAGCATCATAGCTGTGACAAATCAAAGATCATATTCAGCTTTAAGTGATAAAAAGATGATAGTTTAAAAAGGTTTCGTTGCTTTATAATGTTTCACTTTGTATGATCTGTGGTAATTGAAGCAATATATTGTCAATAGTTAGCAATTTTATATAGTCATGTACTTGGATGTATAGCCAACGGCTGTTTCAGGGACTGCGGGGCCTGGGGCCAAACACATCAGCGATTGTTTGTTGCAGTGCTCTTGGGCCAGTAGTGTTCTTATTACGGTTGACGATTGTTATGGTAACAATTAAAGATTTGTAAGCTGCTGAGAACATTTAATTATCAACTGGTTTTTCAATATCCTGAATAAAGCTAGTTTGAGAATAATCCTCTTTTTAATTATCCTTTTGGCGTTAATTTACATACGTATGCAAAAAGCTATTCCTGGAAGGGAACTCACAATAGGCGAAAAGCTTTTCAGAAAGTTATTGAAGGATTCTTGTCATTGCAACGGTTAAATTACTCATTTTGAACAAAACCAAGATGTATCGATTTTGTGTAAGTATAAACAAAAGCCTCTGAGAAATGACCTGAGAGAAAGCACCAGGTTCACAGAGTCCACGTATTCATGGCCTTAAGAATGCAAAGTCGTTTTCAAAGCAGGATAAATACGGGGTATTATCTCTAAAAGGATTTTTGATATCCATGCGTAATATTTCCTTGATTTGCAGGGACTTTAATATCTCCACTCGCCAAAACACCTGCATGAGAGAATTCTGTTTCCTTGTGGCCAAAGTCTAAGCTCGAAGCAACTACCCGTATAAGTCGACATTTGCGTGATGCTAATACTGCTAATTTAACCAGACCCACTCCATCTCCTGTTTCAGCATATCGTGTTCACATCAAGCATTGACATGTTTTTCCATCGTCTACGTTGCCATGTATCAGGTATCAAGGTAAACCATATTGATTTCAGAACCTCTTCCCTCTTCCTTGAACTGCTAATCTCAGTTCCTAAACAATTCTGCATTGATGTTGCTTTGAAAGATTTCCCTTGTTCTTAAAAAGTCTAGATATGCTTTATTGTCAAAGATCTTGACGTAGGGTGCAACACTCTGCAACTTTAAAATCTTTTCTGTTTGCCTGCCCCTCTGCTCTACCCCCTCCTCCTCAAATCATTTTCGACTCCCCTTTATCAGTATTGCTTTTTTCAATTCGATATTTTCTCTATTCTATTGCCAATAGCAGCCTAGCTATCTTGCATCACAACTGTTACAAAGTCTTTAAGCTGCATATTAAAAATATACAATTTGAAATTCGAAAATGTTTTAAACTCGTCTAGGTTTTCAATTTGAGACCCCCATCTGCACAGAAAGCCTTCTAGATCTTTTCCATTCGAATGGGACTTTCGTCTCACTTCAAGAAACAAAGTTATTTTCAATTAGAGAATAAAATGAACAATCGTGATTCATGAGATTTTTGATATTACGAGCTAAACCCTTCATTGTTTAGAGAAAATTGCAGAGAAAGAGGAAGAAAAAACATTTTCCTTCTCGTGATAGCGCCAGCAATCTGAGAAGGACTTCATTCGTTTTTTCCTTATTTGTTAATGTCCTTTCGGCTTTGTGGCATCACAAAACCACAAAAATGGCCTTGTCAAAGCGGTCAAATTTTGTTTTGCTTTTACGTGGCATAGTTTTAAACGAGGAAACAGTTTTGATATAAAAACTGTTCTCTATTGCTGTTTGCAACGGTAATTTTTATGTTCCTTGAACTTTTTATTCCTATGTCCTTTGCTAATTGAATTAGATCATAATTTCAACAAAATTCAGATTTGGTTTAATTTTGTGGATGTCAATAAATTTGCTCCCTTCAGAGCTTGCTAGTTTATTAATTTACTTTCTAAGTTCGTACCTTCATGCTAAAGAACTGTCGCGTTGTGGTTAGCCAAAAATTAGAAGCTTCCACAGTTACGTGGTGAAATTTATTGCCAGCGTAGAGTTCTTGAGCTGTCCACTAAAACAGTTTGAAAGTTTCATAAAAAAAGGCTTGAATACCAACTGAAAGAGATTATTTTAGAGAGAGATCTTTGGTCTATTTAGGTTAATGTGGGTAACATGTTTGCAGAAAGGTCCTTTGCCTTCAGAACTGTTTTATGACTTGTGTTTTACTTAGACTTTTTGGCCATCAGAAATTGTTTATACAATGGTTCTGGCTTTTCCTAAACATGCGAGAAACTGCAAGCAAAGTAACGTGTTTTGAAATAAGGAAATGCCCATGCCTATCATTGCGACACTAAAAAAAGCAGGACCGCTGAGAGCGACGCTGAGCCCAGGAGCAGGCTTAATGCTTGGGCCTGTAATGCATCTGAAATGTTTTTAATGTGGTTTTAATATGCATATAACGTTCTTTATTTACTTTAAATTCTCATCCCTATAGCTTTTTTAACTTTCCCAGTACAGATGTGATTTGTTTGTCTTAGAATTACCATGTTATTGAGAGTCGTATTCAAAATTGAGACAGTTTAATTACCAGCTATCCCCCCTTTGCTTACGGGCCCTGGGGTAATCGGCCCCCTTTGCTTACAGGCCCTGGGGTAATCGGCCCTCCCTTTGCTTACGGGCCCTGGGGTAATCGGCCCTCCCTTTGCTTACGGGACCTGGGGCAATCGGCCCCCCCTTTGCTTACGGGACCTGGGGCAATCGGCCCCTTCCCCCCTCTCGGTGGGCTTGAAAGACAAAAGGGAGTTTGATGTGATTTTTTGGAAACTGGAATGCCATTGAAAGTTCTGTTTACAAACCCGAATGCCGCTGAATGTTAGAGGTCTTCTTGAGTCATTACTCCAAGTAGTCTTGCTAGTTACTATTGGTGGTTTTGCAGAAGGAGAATCACTGAAAAACCCCACCGCCCTACCCTTCTGTGAGTGGTAACAAGGCATGCTCGGTCAACCCTCAAACAGCCACATCGACCACCCAAGCATTGAGATACGGTCGAAAAATCCTTAAATTTAAAGTAGTTTAGAGCTTATCTTATTGTCTAATTTGGCAAGTGGATCAGTGGTTCTGTTTGAATCTTCCAATGCTTTGGGTTTGAATTAATCTCGAAGTGTTCATGTGTTTTATTTCCCTTTGCAGAAGTGCGACAACAGTTTTCCGATCAAGTCAAATGTCTTGACTCGCGGCTCGAGAACAAAGTTGCTCTGGTCACAGACATTCAGGAATTTATCCGCAAAAGGTCCGAGATTGAACTGGAATATTCTAAGAACTTGGAAAAACTTGTCGATAAATTCCGACTACGGTTCCAAAATCAGCGAAATACATACGGACTATCAGAGTGAGTTTGTTTATCATCTTATTCAGAACCCACACAATAAAGCAGAGCAAAGGTACTTGCATGCATTGCAAGACGGTTGTAGGTAGCCCCCCCCCCCCCCATAGAAGACTTTAGGTATGCACTTATATACCATGAAGTATATCCAATTTTCAATCTATATTTAACACGTGCATTTTCTGCATGAGGATAGTGCACACCGAGTCCGGAAACATGGCGGTCCCTTAAAATTTAGGACTGTTAGGAAGGACAACCACAAGAACTAGGGTTACCACACCCAAACCCCCTTTTTTTGCTTTCTGGCAAATGTCCGGACCCTGACCCACGCAGCCCTCTATTATCAAGCAGTCTGCGCTTTGCCCACGTTGCACCGTTACTTATTAATTGGCATTGGAAAATTCAGCTGCAATTCCAGCTGTGTTCGAAGGCACGTGGTTTAGATGGTTCGTGGTTCATCCGGAAAATGTCAAACTGAAAAGCCGATTTAAAATCAATTTTTTATGCATTTTACAAATTGAGGCAAGGAAAATAATTGGGTCGTTGGGCTTTTCCCTCTAATTTCTTCTGTTGTTTCATAATACCTTTTTGATTTTTTAAAACTTGTTAAGGGGGGAGGGGGGAGTAGGTCGCATCAAGTGTCTTACTTTATGGAAACATAATAAGAACTATCAGCAGAGACAGAAATGAGAGACGTAAAACCATTTTTTAAAACCCCTTTTCATCATTGATGCTGTGACTAGATCTAAGGGACATATTTTCAACGGATTTTTTTTAATGGATTTGCATGTCTTGGTGAACATTTTGTGTGATTTTAAGGTGATTGCATTCGTGCATACGTCATTTAGTGAGTGAATGATTGATCGATTCGTTTGGGTGATGGATTGATGAATAATGATTCCTTTGTAGCAAAGAGAGAGCTGCGCCTGTGAACTTATGGTGGAAGCTGCTAAAAGACACCAAATCCAGAACCAAAGCTGTGTCTACATTCAGTGACATTTTGACTAAAAATGTGGCTTCCAGATTAAATGATATGAACGAGGACATTTCTAGAATATCAAGAAATGTAAGTGTCAAACTTCAGAAACTCTATTGAAAATCCTGGGCAAGCAATTCTGAGATCCCACTCCCCTCCCCCGCTCCCAAATTTTGGATGTTAATATTTTGCTATCGTAATGGATGCACTTTAGCTTGGAATAGTAGGGGGGGGGGTAACTGTTCTTCTATACAAGCCTGTAACCCCCTATTTGTTTATGCGTTTGCCCTGATAGCTGTGTCCAGAATCGTAGAAACCAAATCGTATATTGTCAATTTTTTTTCGATAGAACTTTGTAGTTGTTTTAACATTTAAGATCTGGAAAATTTAAGTGCTAAAATAGGTTTTGAGTAGCAAACTTAGACGAGTTGCAATGATGGTAAATTTGAAAATGGTTTTCCTGACTGATTAGAATTCTATGGAGGTATGAAACAAACACTGTCTAACTGTAGCTATGTAAAAAGGCTTGTGAGGCAGGTTTATCAATTCTTCTTCTTTTTGATAAGAATAATTTTAATAAGAATATAATGATATTACATAAAGTAAACAAATTACTTAAAATGCATGTTTTTAAGAATGTAAAAATATCGTACCTATACGAATCAGATGTTGAGAGCCAACTTGTTTGTCTTGTTGATATGGAATAAATAATTTTTAGCGTAATATCTCAAAAGTTGATATTTGTCATATTAATCCTTAAATAAAGCCAGTTCATTTGTCTTCTTCTTTTTGATAAGAATAATTTTAATAAGAATATAATTATATTACATAATGTAAACAAATTACTTAGAATGCATATTTTTAAGAATGTAAAATTATCGTACCTATACGAATCAAAGTTTGTCTTTTTGATATGGAATAAATAATTTTTAGCGTAATATCTCAAAAGTTGATATTTGTCATAATAATCCTTCAATAAAGCCAGTTCATTTGTATTTTGGGTCTTATAATTGTGTAGGTTATTCATTCAATGTTTTTTTGTTCCTCATCTTTTTCATATTTTTCATCAGATGTTCTTTTCACAGCTTAATTCTTTAATAGGTTCGTGATACGATGGTCAGTTTGCAAGAAGAATTAATGAGCAGTGTCCATGATGTTCAACAGGTGATTAATAATTCTTTTTCAATTGACCCGAACTAAAATTTCGAACACATAGATAAGGATCCCGGGGGGGGGGGCGATGTTGCAGCCGTGCTCATAAAAACTATTGACCCCCAACTTTTAGTGTATTTTGAACATAGCTTGGGTAGAGTGTAGACGTAAATGAAACTCGATGTCGTTGATTTTATCTTTAAATATATGCAAAACGTGACTATATACAACTATAACGTAAGCGTAACTTGTTAGCCCATCATCAACTTATGGCGTGTCTTTATCGTAACATCGAAACCTCAAAAATATTAATTTTACAGTATAGGGTAAGAATAACTATATATATACGAAGGCAGCATAATAACAGGGCCAAAGGAATGCCCCAAAATGGCGTGGACTTCGAAATATACTGACTTCAAAATATATAATGTTTTCGAATTAGGCACTGCAATTTCAGCTTGAAAAAATCGCTCTTCCTAGAGAGAATCAAGTAGAACTAAGACCAAACATTGACTGCAATGATATAAAGCAGGAGGATATGAAATAGGAATCTTTAAGTAATTTTAAAGTTTTTAATTCATTTTAGTAATTTGGTTTCTTAACGTATTGTATTAAACTGACTACAAAATGGCATTAATGAAATAAAATTCAAAGCCCGCGGACGATTTAATGTAACATAATTATTTGCATTGCATGGTGGGTAAGCTGCAACGACTGACCCTTCCTTGTTATCATGGTCTTCCCAACAGTTATATAGATTCACTTATAAACCACCAAGCCTTTGAAATGCATTGTTGGGCTAGGTTTAAGCGAAACATCGCTGTGAAAAGCTCACTTTGTTCCGCTAAAACGATCCTGCTCAACCTTACGTTTTCAAAACTACGTTTCTTGTTTCGTTTTCAAAGTGAATCGATACAAAAATCCGCGATACGCTGCACCAATTCACTGAAGTTCATCTAAAGAAGAAATTCACTGATTGTGGCAACTTGACCTCTAACACACCATTGTTCCAATAATCTAAAATTGATTTGTTTTATAAATTCTGTTATGTCTTTCTTTACAGTCAATGAAAACGTATTACCTCAAGCAGTCGGAGCTCATTTTTGCCCATGGAAAACTGAAAGAATCATTTAATGCGAAAATGAAAGCGGAGAAAGATTCCCAGAACAAGAAGGGGAACGAAAAGAGGATGAAAAATATCGACAGAGTCAAAGAAAAGGTGCCGCAAATTGTTGTGGTTTATTAAATCCGAATTTGTGAAAACAAATCCGATTGACCTTAACTGATTTAACAGGAGATAAAGTTTGTATATGTTATATGGCCACAGCCACTATTGTCCCTGTGCCCTCCCAAAAATTATGAAAATCCTTTGTTTCCAACGAACATTCCTTTTTGTTTGTAATATTTCCCCAATAGTTCCATTCTTCCCCTGGTTTGTTACCTTCTCGACTAGCAACCATGAGGTAACAAGAGGTTCATTGGATGGATTGTCCAAATTGACCCTTTATTCTGGGCACCTACTTAATATTTGATTAAATTTAATCTAATTTATCTTCTGATTTAAAATTCAAGAAATTCCATATGTTGTAGCCTTCCCCTTCCAAAATGCAGTCTTCTGGCTTTGTTTAAAAAAAAATCTAAAACAATAATTGAAGGATGGTTCCAGTTCCTTTTTCTGTTTAGTAGCGCCTTGTCCTAAGACTCGATTTCAACTGCTGCCAGGGTTACACCATAATTATCAATGTTTATTTATTCAAACGTAATTTGAAAAAGAAATTTTCTTTTATAAACAGATGGTTTTGCTTACTTATGCAACTAAACTGTTTGCTGCCATCTGAGGTCTCTCATTAGTGATCGCCTTAATTAATTGCTCTTGCATTCAATTTCGCAAAGGCGGAGTTCTTCAAACATGGGAAACACATCTGCCGTGACAGTTAAGGAACAAAGCTTTAGAGAAACCAAAGTACTTTCAGCTAGATTTCATTGCTACATAACTGTTGCCTCTTTTTAGTTTGTTTTGTCTCTCTCTTAATAGCTGGGTATTTCATTTGCAGAGACAAATGCGGTTTAACGAATGTCGGATCAATGCGACCAAGGCAAGAAATGATTACATTTTGCTGCTCAAAGCAACAACAGCAACGTTGGGCAAATTCTTTGATCACGATATTGATGACATCATAGCGGTAAGATTTTTCTGATTTTGTTAACCTTTGCCGTTGCTAAAACTTTTCGATAGCAGAGAAAAACAATTAAACTTTCTCTTTGCATCATCAACGTTCAAGAAAATCTTTCTGCCGTTATTGTTCATGTCTCACCTTTCATTTCCTCACTTTTCAATCTTGTTCCCATCCATCCATTATACTTTTCTTCTCATATTTTCTTCCTATTCCTCTTTCCCGCCTGCTCCTATACTTTTCTTTTCTTTTTCTGGTCGTTTTTCTCCGTTAAGATATTTTGATAATTTCTTCGTGTCTTTTCTCAGTAATATTTCTAATATCAACAGAAATAGTCCAAATAATTTCTCACTGAATTGATAGGAAAGAAACTTTAAAGTTACGGAGGCTTTTATCCACGATTACTTCACCTTAGTAGAAGCCTTCTGTTTGGTATCTACACCATCCACATACGCATTGGCTCTCTCATTTCCAAGCCTTGACTAAAGGACATACTTTTTCTTCTTTTCTCTGCCTTTTTGCATTTTTCACTCTTTTCTCGGCCCTATTTTGTCACCTCAATATACAGGCTACCCATGAATCCTCCTTTTTGCTTTTAATTATCCAGTGCAGTTACAAAGAACCTCGGGGGGGGGAGGGGGATACCTTAATTGGTTATTGCTTTTAATTTATTTGTTTATAAGAGGTACGTCCGTGCCATTATTTAGGGATTACTTTTTTCTGACAAGTGCGGAATTATCGGTATCAGTTTTTGAAAAATGCTCAGAATCTTGGGTACCATTTGAAGAAACATGCAGAATTCTGGGCGCCATTTTGGAAAATTATTGCAAAATTATTAGTAGGGAAATTTAGCAATGACAAAGTGAATGTCTTGTTAGAAATGAAAGTTTGAAGTTTGTGCATTATTGAGATTTTGACGAAAAAGACGTACAAGATTTGTTTGATGATTTTGTTGTGCTGTGTTTTGCGGAATTTCGGGTCACATTTTTCAGACGTGCGGACGTATAGGTCCAAATTATGAACCAAAATCGCACGTCCCCTCTAAACTAGGCTTAGTTACCCCCTGCCCCTTCAAGAGTATTTTGAATTGTAAACAAGTATTTCATTGCATTAAAGTAGACTACGTAGAATATAGCTTTTGATATTCCATTTTATTTCATCTCATTTTTATTTAACGTTTCAATTTTTCTAGATTTTAGTCGTTGTAATGGGGTTTTCCCATGTCCTTGTGAAAAGAAGCCAATTTTGGCTGATGGGGCTATCGTGTATAAAAAATTTAATTTGAAAGAAATAAACTGTAATTTCCATAGCTGTGTAAATCGAACGCCTTCTCAAGACTATCTTTTCGTAACACAATTGTCAGCTGGGATAATTGCTTGAGTCTTTATTAAAACAATAAAGACAGCCAACTTTTAATCCGAAAAGAAAACTATATTCCTCAAGTCTCGTGATGCAAATTGTTTAATAATGGGATCCTTGACGTTTGGTGAAAATGTGTTTCCTGTATAATGGCTTATCGCAGTGTTACGCTGTACAATCATTATTTTGAAAGTTATTTCGCTAGCTTTTATTTCTTTGTGAAACAAGTATTTGTTGACCTGTAGATCTCTTTGTTAAAACTGACATGGGTGCTTGACGAAAGTTGCTTTAATTGTATACAGATTTGCTATCCTTTGTTTATCTGTTTCTGCGTTTATCGGTTGCCTCAAAATAAAATACCCAATAATGTATTTCCTTTGATTATTTCCAAATGGCAAAATCTAATTTTTGTTTATTCCTTGTTGTAATACACTAAGATATGCAGGCTTCAAGCCACCCTGATATGATTAACTAATTTTTGTAAAATCATTTCTAGATACTTTTTATCATAATTTCAGGTAATTCAGAATAAGAATATCCTTTTGTATTTCAGAGAACCGATCATAACTACCACAACAGCTTCAAGTGTGCGTTCCAGGCTTATTGTCGCACCGAACTGCATTTCGCCAACTCTGTGACGTTAACTGCTGACTCCCTGTCCCGCGAAATTGGCCTGATAGACCCAGACAACGACCGACAAATGTTCCTTGAGGACAACCAACAAGCATTTCTTCCTGAGAAGAAAATTAGTCACACAAAGCATTCTGAAGATTCGGTGAGAAATTCAACGTTATGTATACTGCATCATTTCATTTCCTTTGCCTTCTGCCGTGTTCTCACCCCCTCCTTATTTTTGTATGAAATCAGTAACAATTTTATCAATCCCCCATCAATCAATATTCTCAATTAATGTCAAGAGATCACTCCTGGGACCCTTTGCTTTTTGATTTCCAGATCTCCTCATTGTGTTTTGTTTGGAAAATTGATTTGAAGGACTCTCCGCAATAAACAATTGCCGCCTTACATCTCTCGAAATAATACAAATCCGCTTTGGGATCAACATTTGTCGTGGAAACAATGGAATAATTCTCCTGGGGCCTGGTTTATATAATAAAATGTTTATGTTTACCTCACTGACCTTTGAGAGGGTTTGAGAACGTGGCAATGTAACAGTCAATCAATGAGATACACTTGCAGTTTCGCTCAAGTATTTACACCTGTTCGCCGTTTATTTACAGTTTTCTCTTGAAATGGCAGGATCCACTTTCTTCGTGTCAGGCTTGGGATGCTTTATCACCCACTGCATGTAAACATGTGAAAGTTTAGTGTTTATCACATGACAAATACCCTGAGTTTTTCAGTCAATCTGATTGGTCAAAATAGACCTGATAGTGATTGGCTCACATAACAATGACCAGTTTTTTAACCAGTCAATAATAGGGTGTATGCCACGTGTCAAAAATGATCCTTAATATTGAGATGGATTCTGCTGTTGCACTAGTGAATTCCCATTTTTGTTATCAGTTCATCTGACCATTTTGTTCTCCAGTGTTTGATATTCATATCAGGCAAGGCAATTGCTTTTTATTTATTTGTTTATAATTGTAGTCCCTCTCTTTTCGTAGATAACCGCTATTACAGCCGTTGGTTCAATAAAGCAGAATTTAGACAAACTACACGATATCACCCATAGTGAATTGCAGAGGCAAAATTCAGAATTAGCCGAGGTGATTTAAAGATATCATTAGCCACAGACATTCCTTACACAAAAATGTTGCACCACCTTTTACAAAATGGCAGTGCATCTTGTCAACTCTTCAACAATACCAATCATTTTAATGCACGAGTTGTGTGATTTGGGTGTACTTTTTAAAAACTTGGGTGATGTGGGCGAACGCATATTTTAAAAATCTTTCTAACGCCATAGAAAACATAGTCAAACTGTTTTAATCAAGCAAGAAAGTTTTTGCTTGTAGCAATACAGACCATGCCTAAATTGAAAAATTGTCAAATGAGATGGGAGTTGCTATGAAAAGTTTGCGGGAAAGTAGACTTTAATTTTCAAATGATTGCTGAGCCAGTTTGACCCGACGCACAACAGCTGTGAGAACTCAAAACAATTTTTTTGAGGCTAGGGTGGTTCGTTTAAAAAAAATTGGAAGTGGACAACCAAAATACATTGATATCAGAAAGGAGAGAATTTGTCTGTTCCAATTCATGGCCTTTATACTTTGACATTAAAGGACACAAACTCGACGCTGTGAAAGGTTTTATAACTCAAAGTCCTTACAAACAAACTGTAATGACTGCTTTACCCAATTACGAAAGAAAAGTTTCCTTGGTAAAAGGAAGCCATTTTTACAAAGATTTATTGTCAAACAATAATGATTGAAATTTTTCCATGGCTAGTAATAAGTTCAGATTTGGACATCGTTTAAAATGTTTGGGTTCGTATGGAAAACATTATAAATCATGATCCAAATGGTTCTCCAAGAACCAGAGAATCACTATTGAAAGAATTCGTTAGGGGTGACGCAAAATTCCTCAAAAAATACATTGCCAAATTACATGCATTTAATTTAAATGGCATAGTAAATTTGAATTTCTCGCGGTAACTGATCAAAATTATGGAATTCTAATGCAATACTTTTGTGAGGTGAGTGTATGAAGGTTGATAATAGTTTACATGTTTGATAAAAGTTTACTGAAAGTGGTGTTTTTTTAGTATCACAGCTTATAAACAAAATAGTTGTCATTTTTCTGACTACTGTCTTACTGGACGGGTTCGAGCTGACTTCGAATTGTAACTTTCATGACTTGAGCAAAAATCTCTCTTCTTGCCTTAGATCGTAGTTTTTTGTCGAGAGTTTCTTCACTACAGTAAAATTTTCTGTTTTACTCAAACATGCGTAGTGGTAGGTACTAATTTCGATTGGCCCGGTCGCAGTTGTCTGAAAAATGTAACTCAAAACACAATTTAATAACAATGACAATTGAAAATGTCAAGGCAAAGTAAAAAGATGCTTAACAATCCATTCTCTTGTTGCTTTTTCAGCTTGGTGACATTTTATTGCAAAAGAATAGCAAACTGGGTGACATTTATCACAAATATGAAACGGAAATGAACGCCCAACACAGTGTCGACATCCAAATCAAAGTTAGCAAAGAGGATTGTGAGACAAGCTACTTGCAAGTGCGTAAATTCCACTTTTCTCATACCCACTCATCCGCGTGTTTGTGTTCATTCCTCGTATTCAGGCTCGTACTTGCGTTCGTCCCCCGTATTCATGCTCGTATTTGTGTTCATTCCTCGTATTCATGCTCGTACTTGCGTTCGTCCCTCGTATTGATGCTCGTAATTGTGTTCGTTCCTCGTATTCATGCTCGTACTTGTGTTCGTCCCTCGTATTCATGCTCTTGTTTATGTTCGTTCCTCGTATTCATGCTCGTACTTGTGTTCATTTCTCGTATTCATGCTTGTGTTCGTCTCTCGTATTTGTCTTCGTTACAACGGTTTATTCTCCTATTAGTTTCTATACATGCAATCGTTTATCGTGAAGTTGCTCTTTTGTGTTCGTTTCTTTAGCTGTTCCATCACCCACTGACCATTTTTAGTCCTCGCATTTGTTAAATCTTATGCTACAAATTGCACAGATAATTTGTAAAAGAAACTTTGTAAAAGAATAGAAAAAGGAGTTCAAAGCTTTTTATAAAATATTGTTATTAATTTTTACTATAATTTTAAAATTATTGGCAAGCGCAATTACTTTAAAGGGACAACATTTTATTTTAGGGTTTCGAGAAATTGTTTTACGCATACTTTAGTTGTACTACTTACTACAATTTTAACGATTTTGAAGTCTAAAGGGTCAAGCTTATTTAATGTGAACTTTTTTCATGTTTTGTTTATATATCTTGCTTATTATTTTGACATAGGATTTTTGCTTTCATTGGTTTCTGTTAACGTCATTTTTATACTGAAATTACTGCTCTTTACAGAAATTTCGCGAATTGCTTGAATTGCAAAGGTGCAGTACTGCGACCCAAGTCAAACATGAAACGCTGACAGAAGCTTTGCGTAAGTTTATCATTTACTTCTCTAATAATTTACATTTATTTACATTATTTTATGTTTTTAAGGAGCACTGTTTGTCTTTGATAAACAATTTATCGTGCATGATAAAGACAAATTCTGAAGCTTTCAAATTTTTTTCCAGGTGAAATCGCAGAAAATGCTAAAAGACCGTAAGTATATATTTTGTGTGAAATGGTCAACGTAGTCGATTGTATGAATGGAAGTTTTAAACTGGGGGCTTCTATTTGGACCGGCCGTGTTTCACAATCCAGTTTCAGAAGTTCCACCTATGTGGCTTTAAGTGTAAAATCGTCGTATAAAAAGGTCATTTACATTAAACACAAAGCTTTTTTAGTTATTTTTAAGCAATCCTTAAATCATGCAATAAATAATAGTGTTTCTTGATATATAAATTATCTGTCGAAAACTTGGTCCTCATTCGCTATATAAGCGCAAGCATGAACGCAAGCGCAAGAGGCTTATTGCCAATAAGTACTAGCTCAAAAGTAGCGTTAGCACAAGAATATCGAAACATTGTGAATGCCAAAAAGTAACCGTTTTCTAATTCTTGATATTTTTATTTGATAGCATTTTTTGCCCGAGCCCCCATTATCTATTTCATAGCACTTCTTCTCTAATTACGTCATTGCTTTTGAAGATCAAGCGTTGAGGATGAATTTGGACCGTCCATTGTGAGGCCAATCAAACTCTTTGGAACAACCCTTGATTTTCAAGCCCTCGTAAGTAAAAACATCCAATCCATTCTCTAACAACTAGTTCCTCAATCTTCTAAGAACTGTCGATCTTTTTGATAAGCCAGAGCTACACCCATCACCGAATGTCGACTGCCGTATTTTAATGATAAGACACCGTGATATTCAATGGGATAATTGCTTTTATAAGGCCCTTGTAATGTCAATCATGCAGATGGTGATACCTTTTTGAAACTTTGTTAAGCTATTATTCGTGGCATAGACTTGCTTATATATCTTTAGGGTTTGCTCTACTGTCCCTGTCCACAAGCAGTATATGTGGTTGGATTTAAAAGAAGTCAGTTTTGAATCTCATTCAGCTCATAAAACTACATATTATTTCCGAATTTCAAAACTCTGTCGTTATTGATGACTTAGTCATGATCGGTGCCTCTAAGAGATTGGGATCCAATACCCCAGCCTGAAGATGATCGACCCAGTTGGTCTTCACACTGTAACCTTCCATATTTCACTCAAGCGGTTCCCTACTTTTCAGGCGACAGGACAAGACATCCCAGAAATAGTGGAAAGTTGTATAAGATTTATGTGTGAATTTGGTAAGAAATTTATTCATACTCTTTTGTTGGGATAATCAGTCATTTTCAGTTTCGATTATTTTTATAAACTAATTAGTTTCTAAGATGTTAACATTTGGTATCAAGAAGGACCGTTCTTCAGAGATAGAATGTTAAACGCGGATTTTCAGATTAATCAAAGGTTTCAATTTTTATTCCAAAGATAGCGATACATTTAGGTAAGGACTAGCACCCGGTGCTGAATTTTTGCACGTGACTTCAAGCGATGTCACCTGACCTCACATGACATCACGTGACTTCAAATGATGTCACATGACCTCACATGACATCACGTGACTTCAAATGATGTCACATTATTTCAATTTATGTTCCCATATTTTCTTTATTTTTGAAATTATTCGCATTTTCATCTCCAGGTTTGGAACACCATGGGATCTTCCGGGTGTCAGGCACATCACAGGAAATATCCGATATAAAAAAGAGTTTCGAAGAAGGTAAATTGAATTCGTATCAACCAAAGTAACCTCACATTATTATGTTTCATCAGATTCTCATAAAATTTAATGTTAATCGTAAATGATATGAACAAAGTGGGAGTTTCTTAAATGGGATCTGAATTGTTTCCACATAGGCATTCAGTAGCTCCAGCAAAAGCTTTCAGAACCTGCAACTTTGGACAGAGCTGTTATGACAAACCCCTTAATGCCTTCTGAGCTGCACGCATGTTGTTACAACATCAGCCCCTCCCTCCTCAATTCAGAGTTGGTGCATATGTAGCAGAGTTTAGCTAGGGAAGGGAGTGATGTAAAACTTTAACATCATCTGTCCGGAATTGTAGATTTGCCCCTGACTAAAGAGTTAAGCAATCTCATTATCCTACAGTTGTAGAATATAAAAACTCTACTCTGATATAGAGATGAAATTTAAGCATTTGCTCATTATAGACTGAAGCTCCCCAGAATGATTTTTTTATACTTTTTAAAAAAATTATGAATATTCCTACGTAATTTCCTTTATTTGATGAATATAATCATTGCAAATTCAATGGCATATAACTTGTGTCAGGGGCTAAGCCTGGTCTTGTAGCGCAAGAGGACAACAGCAACAAGCCTAGAGGACTACTGTATTTATTAATTCGTGTTCCTACTTACAAACCCACCTGGGGAGAGGTCACGACACTTTTTATCTCGAAGTCTGAACTGGGAATATTGTTGGTTTTATTTTCAGGAAAGAACCCACTGGCAAGTTTGAATCATCGAAAGGATATCAATGCTGTTGCTGGGGTTTTCAGAGCGTACTTTCGAGAGCTTGAAGAGCCGCTGTTTCCATCCAAGTTCTGCAATGATTACATTCGAATCAGTCGTAAGTAACCAGCCATAGCTAAATATGAGATGAAAATATAATTATTTAATATGACAACATTAGAATAATTTTCAGTTGTTGCTTATCTAGTAAAGATTCATTATATCACAATCATTTTATTTTTATTTTTGTTCTTAAGCACGTTTTAGGACCGTTTAGGATTTCTGTTTAGATAGTTCATGTCCAAGTTTTAATCTGTATTTTGAGCATAATATTAGAGTTCTCCAGTATTTACTAAATGTTTGTGTAATCCATTGAATGTTTGATGTTTTTTGTCGAGCATTGACACTTTGACGGATTGACAAAGTACCTTGCTTTGGAACGAATGTTCCGCGTGCCTTGTACGGATTGTTGACAAGTGCAGTAAAAACTTTGATCTTACCATCAAATGATTATCAAGTTTACCATCAAAACCAGGGGCAGCGCGGAGTGATATAAAGTTGCTATTACCACAAGTATATGTACCCCGTGAGATCTTTATCAGTGAGTGTTTAAACGATTGTTTTATCTCTTTTCTCAAAGTCTGTATGTACAGGTGGACCCAATATTCTATTCCTTTGGAATTATGGGTCTACGCGTAGGCTGATAGCCTTTGTGAAAGGTGGCTACACTTTGAGGCCGACTAGACCCCAGCGGCTCTTTGCCATTTGGTGAAGCCCCTTGCTATTAAAGGTACACTTTGTAATAGCAAGATTGCCACTGGGCTCTAATCGGGTATCAGAGAGTGTTTGTTCTTTTCCTTAAAGACTCATTGCTAACAATGAGCCATTGCGCTACGCAAGCATCCCATAATGCATTTTCAGACAGTCTGAAATCAATCCGTAGAAGTTTACTGCCATTGTTTGGATCGTCGCCTGGATAATTTGCCACCCTCGCAAAGGCTCATTGTTAGCAATGAGTTTTCAATTGAGATAATTGTTTCCCCGTGAGAAGTTTGTCTGAAAGTTTGTAAAAAGAGCATAACTATTAGCAAGATAAAATCTTGCTATTAGCGTGTAGACGAATATGTATTAAGAATGGAAATAAAAATGCAACAAACAAGTCACAGCAAAGAAATGCTTTAACGTAGTAATGTTATAAAAACACAGCAAAAAACTTTGATAAAAATTCAATAAAGACAGAAGGCCTCATCCTCCATAACGAAAATTGCCAGAAATAATATGTACTTTATATCTGAATCACCTTGAATCAAAATTTATCTGAATCGGCTTTTTACTAACTTCAACATCGGGTTAGGTAGTCCATCATTTTTAGGCGAAGGCGAAAACCATTGAGAGAAAGAAAAAGAAAACAATTGAAACATCCCTTCTATACAAGCAGACGCAATACGATTTGTTTTTTTTTTCGTGTCAAGCTACTTCGTCCTCCTCGAGATGAGCACCTATCTGATCTCTTGCTATTACATCTGAGATTGTAATAGCAAAGCAGCGGGATTTGCGTTCCAAACGATAGCCTATTGCGCAGCAAACGAAGGGAGTTATGATGCAATGAACTATTGTTTTTCTTCATCAATGCTTATTTGAAAGGCGAAAGTAATAGCATGGCCGATCTGTGGCTGAAGAATGAGGCTCCTCTCATACCAGGATATAATGGCTTTTGATGAAAGGTCTGCTGCGGCTACTTTAGTTTGGTTAAATGAGGCAATTACTGCTAGAACCATGGTTGAAAATTTTTCTGTTTTGTTTTATTTTTCTTATATTACACACGAAGTGGCCTTGAAAAAGTTTATATTAAAGTAATAGCAATAATAGCACTATCCGCCGCCCCTGATCAAAACACTGGCCATATGCTCCAAAAACTAAACCTAATTCGCCCATCCTCTTATTTCACCAGGTGCATTTCTGTTTTTTTCTTTCTATTAATCAAAAACAACCGTGTCTTAGTGAGCGTTTTCTGTGTTAAAGTCTCAGATTTCCTCATAAAACAGCGAAGCTCTTGAACGTGTATGTTAATCAACTCTTTGTATTTTCTCATGAACCCTATTATTTAGATAGTCTACAACCTACGCAAAAGAGTCTTAAACACATTTCCCTTTCACAGTGAACGATTACTGTTAAAGTCGTAATCATTATCATCATCATCACCAATCATCCTCAATCATCACCATAATCATCATTATAGTCATCGTCATAATCATCATCATCATCATCATCATCATCACCAATCATCCTCAATCATCACCATAATCATCATTATAGTCATCATCATAATCATCAGCACCAATCATCCTCAATCATCACCATAATCATCATTATAGTCATCGTCATAATCATCATCATCATCATCATCATCATCACCAATCATCCTCAATCATCACCATAATCATCATTATAGTCATCATCATAATCATCAGCACCAATCATCCTCAATCATCACCATAATCATCATTATAGTCATCGTCATAATCATCATCATCATCATCATCATCATCACCAATCATCCTCAATCATCACCATAATCATCATTATAGTCATCATCATAATCATCAGCACTAATCATCCTCAATCATCACCATAATCATCATTATAGTCATCGTCATAATCATCATCATCATCACCATAATCATCATTATAGTCATCGTCATAATCAATATCATCATCATCATCATCATCACCATAATCATCATTATAGTCATCGTCATAATCATCATCATCATCATCATCATCACCATAATCATCATTATAGTCATCATCATAATCATCATCATCATCATCATCACCAATCATCCTCAATCATCACCATAATCATCATTATAGTCATCGTCATAATCATCATCATCATCACCAATCATCCTCAATCATCACCATAATCATCATTATAGTCATCGTCATAATCATAATCATCATCATCATCACCAATCATCCTCTATCATCACCAGAATCATCATTATAGTCATCGCCATAATCATCATCATCATCATCATCACCAATCATCCTCAATCATCACCATAATCATCATTATAGTCATCATCATAATCATCAGCACCAATAGCAATCATCGTTATCAATAATCAATGATCATAAGAGCCTGGGCAAGAGCTCAGGCACCCAAGCATTTTTTACAATGATACAATTTTTAGACTTGTTGACAATGAATTCCTTCTTAAGGAGTTGTCCAAAAATGTCATTGCTTATGAAGGAACAATGCCTGGATCTTTTGATCAGACTTTTTCATTGTCATCACCTGCTTAAAGGTCCGCCAACCAAACCTGAAAGTCTTTCTTCAACCAAACATGGAGTCTTGTCGACCTACGTTTATGAAAATAACTGAAACCATCTGTTTGGTCAAGTCTTTTGCGCAGCATACCCTTTACAGATGATTTGATAATCTGCTTTCAACACCGTCCATGTCTTTAAACACCCAGAGCTGACCTCGTAAACTCACCATCAGTCTTCATTTTAGGCAATTCATTTTATATTCCCTTTTAAAGGTTCGGAACCTCTGTGTGTTCAGTAAACACCCATAATTTTGAAAAATAGCATCTCCAACACTTCAAATTCCTATAATGATAAACTTTTCGGAAAGCTATCGTCTGAAATCTTAATATATTTGTCACCTTAGACATCTTTGTCACATCACCCATTAATATGTTACATTTAAGCGATGCTTCACAGATACTGTCTTAGGCCTTTTCTTTTCAACCGCCTATGTCAACTCATATCCGTTCTGGCATATGATATGATATGAAACTTGCAATGACCTGCGCTTGCAATGAAAATGACCTGCGCTGTTAAAAGTATTAATTGGTTCTTCAAAATGTGCATTGCATGTCATGTTGCTCTGATACTAACAAATTTTCTGTTTTGTATCTTACCAATACCAGTCAATTACATTACTCGTATTGATGGCATCCCGTTGACGCTGCTATGAAATCCACATAGTTACCAAACTATTCATATCTAAGCAATAATTTTTAACTTGTAACAGCGTTGAATGATACTTTTGGAAATAATGATTCCGATTTTAGTCAGCTAATTTATTAGGCTATTAGTCATAGCTTGACGTGTATTGAATAGGGATTAATTTACTGGAATTCATCACTGCAAAGTTACGTTTAATTTCAGAAAGATCAATATTATTGTTTTAGGCCTACAATCCGTTGAAGAACAGATACAAGAAACACAGAAGATAATGGCTGCTTTTCCAGCGCTTAATCTACGAATCATAAAATATCTTTTCAAGTTCTTGAATCTGTAAGTCGAGTCAATCGAAATACGTTTTTGATGTGATTATGGCAATGGCTTGTTTTTCAAAAATTGGTTATATATGTTTATTGAAGAGATTTAGCCTAAATTTATGTGAAAATTAGTTTCAAAGAATGTGTCACTGCTAGAAAGATTGTGTGAACAAAATTTTTAAAAGCAATAGTAAATAACATTTCTCGCGTATAACACGAGTTTCATTTTTTACACGAATTTTTTATGCATTTTTGTAAATGAAGTTTAAGTTTTATGCATTGCTGTGTTATGTTCTACTGCCGTATTTCCTTTTTAGAGGGCAGCTTTTCAGTATGCCTACGAAATATTGCTTCTTGAGTAAGAATATATTTTTAAGAAAAACCCTGCAATTGGGTAAATTTCATTTTCGATAGCAAAAAATACTGAATCTTAATAAACTCTCCTTTTCCAAAGAAAAGACTCGCTTTTTCATTCATTTAGTTTTCGGGAAATTTTCGATTCGGTGATAAATACCATTGGTAACACATTCGAAACTTATAGCATTTTTTCTTTAGATTCCACACATTTTGAGCCAGTTCGCAGAAATACGGAAAATACTTCGATTAAACAATATCATTTATTTCGTTTGTTTGATATATTTCTAATAATGAGTTTATAATTTGTTTAAAAACCAATTCATAATTTGTTTCCCTTGTGTTTGTCCAGCATTTCAACGAAAAGCGAAGTAAACAAAATGACTCCTCATAACCTAGCCGTTGTTTTCGGGCCTACGGTTATCAGAGCACCAGCCACCGAAGATGTCATCACTAGCCAAGGACAGATTAATATCTTCATTGAATTGTTCATCACTGAACTGTTTAGTATATTCCCCAACGACAAGCCACTTAACGATGATGGAACATCGATTCGAAGCGATGATGGAGATGATGAAGATGGCGATGATGACGAGGACCTTGGTAGTGACGAAGGTACTTTTTTATGCCATGATTATGGTTGTTGCTGTTGCCTTTATTGTTGCTGTTGTTGTCGTTGTCGTATTTGTGGTTGTTACTGTTATTAATGTTGCTTTTTTCTTGTTATGGAGCTAATTTATACAGCTTTCGATTTCAAACATGAAATTTTGAAGCATTGTTCTTTTAAGTATTTGTATAGTCCAACCAAAAAAAATTTAAATGGCCATCGAAATGCGTCAGGACAAAGTGCTTTAAAGTCTTAGATAAAAAATGTATGATTCGTTAAAACATGAGGTTTCTATTGACTGTGTTGCTCATATTGATAACCAGTTTTCTTTATTTTCCAGAAAATGACGGTGATTTCTTGGAAGCGGAAGCACTTTACGACTACTCTGCACGATCGCATAAAGAACTGTCTTTTAAAAAGGGTGACATCATTCAAGTGTTCTCCCGCGCGAACAAAGACTGGTGGGATGCAAGGGTCAATGGATCGTTTGGCTTCGTTCCTGCGAATTACGTCAAAGTTGCGTCACCAGACACCGAAAGACTAGATATTTCAGGCGATGACGCATCATCGTGTGGTGCGACAGAAGTGCCAAGCAAAGCAAATAGTTCTTCAGAAGAACCATTGCTTCTTGAAGAAAAGATTATCAGTCCGCGTTCTGATGACAATAAATCTCCTTTAGATACGCCGCGGTCAAATTCGCGCGAATCACCGAGTAATGTTTTTGTAACTATTGATCCAACTGTGTCAAAGAGCAGCGTAAAGTCAGCGACTTTAGGAAATAAATCGGCAGGTCCACTTGCTGGTCCGCAGTTTTTACAGAATCGTGGCGCATCTCTCCCACGGCAGGCGCTTAAAAGCGAATCAGATTTGATTTCGACTGATTCACTATCCTCAACTGTGACTGCAGTCAGGGAGGCGTTTGGTGGTCCCAAACCGCTGAAACCTGGCGCGAGTAAATCGATGACAATATCTGCTACGGATTTAAGAAACACACAGAGTAAGCTTCGACCTGGTACTCCAGACGATATTTTGGCAACTTCGGAGGCTGCACCATCATTTGAGGAGCGCTCTACCGCTTTAGAGAGGGGTGGAAGCGTGAAAAACATTTCTCAAATGTTTAATCGCCAAGGCAGTGGGTCTTTATACCGTAAACAAGCGACGTCAAGTACTGCTTCTGATGAAAATGCCTCATCACCAACTGGTGACGAAGTCAAGCGGATTGGATCGACTAGCAGCGCGGACGAGCCGGAAAGAGAAAGTAAACCACCAGCGCCAGCAGTGAAGCCGAAGCCTTTCATCAAAAGAGATTCTGTCGGCTTGGCCGCAACGCAGCCAGCTGCTGTTGCCGCGCCATCTGAACTGATAGCGAGCATCAAGGCCGCGGCAGCGGCAAAAGTTGTCAAGGAAGGAGTAGGTGGTATTAAGGAAGAGACAAATTTATAAGGTTTTTATATGGAGGCGACTAATTTACAGTCAAAATAGTTTGCATGTAGTCAAAATTTATTTTAACCAAAATGCGAGTGTGGATTTATTATGTTAGCGTAGTTAAAGGGAGCGAAATCGTGTCCTTGTGGAGCATCGAGCATTTTCGAATTTACGACTCTGCACAACATATTATGGCTCACCGATTACATTGCTCTGGGATTTATAAGCCTACATATTTAGAGTGTGGTATCTGGGACCGGACATTAATCTTTCCGTATTATCGTTCAAGCGTAATTTGTAAGTTACATTTCTCAACTCGAAAACGTTTAATAACGTTACACTCTGGTCACATCAGGTTCGACTGATATCCAACGCATTTGTTATTGCTGGTCTGGAAATGATTTGACTGTTATTGTAAAATAACTGATTGAAAAGATACTCTCAAAGTCAGCAATTGGCAACAGAGTCAACAAGAAGAATTTTGCGTTGCTCAAATCGGCATTCTCGTAGGCTTTCGTGTCACTTTATTGCATTTATTGAAAGTCAATAGCCATTTTGCTATGATATTAAGCTAGAAAACATTCAAAGCATTTTATAAGACTCGAGTCTTTTTCCTTTATTCCTAGTCTTTGTAGGCAAGCCAAAATCCTAGCAATACTCCCTGCTTTTTCTATGTTGTCACGGTGTTATTTGGAGTAGGGAAGACCTTTTTTGAGCAAGACCAGACTAACTTTTATGATGCATCTTAGTGGCTGAAGGATTTCGCCAGATTCCGTGTTCCAAGATTTTTCTTTGAAGGAAACTTGGCTAACTTTGAACATTTTATGACTTCGTCTCTCAATTATGTTGGGAGTGGGGTTGTTAGAAATCTCACTCCAAAGGTTACACCAAAATACCCATGGTACCTGTCGATGTAGCAGTTTTGACCCGGCGTTATCTTTCTTATTTTTTAATGTATAGTATCTTTCTGGATTTTTTATTTGTGGGACTCAAAGAATTAATTAAGTACGTTTTAGCACAATTTTTCTCTATTAGAAAGGACGCTCAGTGTTTTTACATGCTGATAATTCATTCGCAATCTCTGTGGCATTCCCGTAGGCCTAATTTTGCAGTTTTGTAACCCTACTTATAACAGCGTTTCTGTGCAATTCTGGTCCTTAAAATTTTGATAGCCCCGTCGAAATGAGCCTGCGTAGCAGTGTATTATAGTCTTGAATACTATGTTGTAATTTGAATTACTTTCGAAGCATTTGTTTGCGTCTAGCATTTAATGATTTACGGATAAAATAATTGCTTGAACAAGAAAAACTTAGCAAATAAACTGTTTGTGCGTTTCGACGAGGTTAGCAATGTTTAGATAATTTATGTAATCGAAAATTGGTGTTCGAGTTTAGGCCAAAGCATTATGTTTATAATCCCATTTTTCTAGATTTTGTAATTACAATGAAAATTATTATGAACAACCGCTACTGAGTGTTTTTCTTTGAATATATCTTTCCTTAGTTGAAATTTTCAGGCACAAGCAACTATTCCCTTTTCAACGAATATTGTTAAAAAATTATTCTAAAACTTAGTAGGGACAAAATGCTCAGTTCAGGTTTCGTAGATACTTTACAATTCCATTAGATACACTAACGCTTTTACTAAAAAAATATAGATACTTACTATAATAGAGATAAAGAAAATTTAAACCGATATGAACTAACTAATATACAACAATTATAAACAAATGGGTTTTCGGTATCTAGAATTTTGAAGATGGCACGAAGTAGCAGCCTCTGCTCTGACTATAAACGTCGGATGGTGACCGAAAGTAAGAAGAATATTTATGTCCAGGTGAGGCTTGAAAAAAATGTCTCACTGGGGGAAAGAACGACGCGTCTGGTTCTTGTATGGAAGGTGCAAGGTAATTGTATGCAACAGAGTTTATGAATATGATGGAAATTTCTTTAGGAAGAGCTCTCTGGAGAAGCTACAATGCCTGCAAAATATCCTTGGAACACTCTGAGATTTCTGTGAATTCTCGTGTCCCTTTCTATTTCCATGTCAACAAGGAGGGTGTTGCCCCCCTTCCCCCTCATACAATGTTGATCCGCTAGCTGAAAATCATAGCTATGTAAAAATGTATCACTTGTACATGTAGGATTATTCATAAAACATTGTACAAGGGGGGAGGGGATGTTGCAGCTCGTGCAGAACGTAAATTATAGCAAGTGTTACAAGACTTTTGGCAGGCATTGTAGATCAGTTGTGGAGAGAGCACCACTCTCCAAATGTTTCCAAGCCATTCATTCAGTTGCATTGAGGTGACACTCAAGACTTTCGACATAGAATTGAAAATCTAGTAGCTTATTTGCATTCAAAAAGATCTTCTGGAGAACATTCAAAATGCTGACCACAACATTGCGTGATATATTTTCATTAGTTGCATTTTGTTTTGTTTGCCCAAATCCCTTTCAAATCGGTAAAATTATGAAGTTTGTATTGATTGCGATGTTGGTGTTATTACTGGTTAGATGAGACATCGAATTCATAAATAAAACCGAAACCACTGTTAGTTGAAAAATTTAGTGCTTAAATTTGAAACCAAAGAGAAGTATAAAATCACATTTTATACAAAAACCTTTTTGCCAATCATATTACAACAACCTCCCAAATAAATGGAAAACTGCATATTTCTTTTTATAGCAATTAGAGTATTGTATTGAGTTGTAAAAGCATATTGTTAAATTTCCATAGCAGTATAATGTTGCCCTTCCAGTTTTGAATTTCAAACAATTTGGATATGACAGAAAACTGGTTTATCGCGGCACTTTCTGTTGTGGAAGGTCCTATTTCCTCTTTCGCGAGTTATTATATAAAATTATATTTTTAGTGAGACATTAGAACCTGTCAAACTGTTTCGCTTTCGATGGTAGCACTTCCTCTTTCTTTAGCCCTTCCCAATATTTAATCTTTCCATGTAAAAGTCGCTTTTCGAGCAAGTTGATTTATCTCTAGTCTAACCCTTTATTTGCCTCATGTTTTCGTGTTACTATAGCTATGTATTTCCATCCCCTGTGCTTCCCACGAAAGGAAAAATCATAGAGTCATCCGCTGTCTTTGTGGGTCTCATCTTACAAAACATTCCATTGTCAGCATTCAACAAGAATCGTACGCCTATTTCATTGGATGGCTTCTTTTTGTTTTTGGAAACAATAAAGTTCTTTTTAAAGAAATACTTAGTCACAAAGGATTCGCTGACAATTCAATTGTCATTGTAAATTAAAATAGATCAACCACTTAGGCCCACCGGGTGCCCGCGCAAAACTAGGTCGTGAATCATATTCTTGGAACGGAGTCATCGCTAATGCACAAAACTGAGACGAATTATTAGACAGACGGTCAATAAGTGAGCAGTAGAGTTAAGTGCATTTGATTTAGCGATATTACAAATCAGAGTATTATCATCTTGAAGCTAGTTATCTATTTCAATATTTTGGAGTTCTGTCTGAAGGACCAAGACGTTGTAGGCCTACGGAAGTAGTTTACATTTGCCTGTAAGTTTCGTCTTGACAAGCTTAGACAGATTTCAATCACGAGGTAAGGGGAACTTATGTTACTTTTTGCTTTTTCTACCTTCCGTGTTTTGATAGGCAAATTTTCAGGTTAAAATGCTGCATTGCATGTCCCCGCCCCGCCCGCACCAAGCCTCTGTGGAATAAGAGATTATGCATATGCATCGAAATTTTCAAAAATACCTCTTAACCTCAAAGAGATGAAAAGCAATTTTAGGGGTCCTAGAACCGTCTGCTACGAAATGACTTTAGACTGACGCCCCTGCTCCTTCATTTATTTGTATACGTCATTTTTAAATTTAGAGGGCTAAGGAATTCTGTGATGAATTTGCGTGAAATGTCTACATGATGTTGGCTGCCTCAATTTCCAGACAATTGATATTAATGCTTTAAACCAATGCAAATCACGTCTTTATCGTTAAAACATGTCATAATGTTGCATAGTTGCTGATTCCTCAACATTTGCTAGAGTGTCCAGCATTTAAAGATTCAGAGTCTAAATGAAAAATGAATAGAACAAAAGGTAGAATGAAGCAATTAATTATCGATCAATATATCTCCAATATTTATGATATTAATAACTGGAAAGTATATTGTCATCAAAATATGGTATAAAATGTGTTTATTTATCATTCAATCTAAATTTTTCTTTGCATCAGATATGGGCTTTTTGAGAGTGAAGCTTCTTCAAGCTGAAGCTGGGGAAAGTTGGTCTGAAATTGGTGGAAATTCCTGGGATCCATTCTGTGCCATTGCCATTAAAGAAGCAATTGAAGTGCCAGGGAAAGGAATAGAGCTCGTGCAGAAGAAGAAAACTATCTATCCAGAATGGAACAAATCATTCGACACTCATGTGTACCCTGGACGAATGATATGTGTTGCAGTTATGTCAAGATTTGACAATAAATTAGTTGGAAATGTCACATTTGGTGTTGATTTTCTTGCAGAACAGTGTAGGAAAAGTGAGAATGGTGTCTCCAGTGTTTGGGTGAGTTAGAGATTTGTGTTTTATCGATGCTTTTACACTCACTAATTTTGCCCTGTTTTAGTGTTCAGTAAAAGGCCAAGCTCAAAAGGATGATTAAGTTTTTAATTTTAACATATGCAATTTAATGCACATGATATAAGAGACTTGCACTGGCAATGGTAAGAGTTCAAAAACTATGAATTATTGCAGTTTTGCACACTTACTTGGATTGCCGGTAGCATCCACTGGGTCACCACCATTTAAATTCCTCCCTGGTACATAAACAAGATGATAAGAAAGCAACTCATCCAAAATTTCAGACAAATGCATTTAGGCATTCTAGTGACAGTTGCTTGATGACCGCATTAAGTTGAGCATGAAACGCAGAGCAGGAACTTAGAATCATGCTGTTGTATACACATAAAGTGAAGCCATTCCAGTGATTTGGCCAGCCAAATTTTGTCTACTCTATTTCATGGGCCACCTATAAGTTCTACCATGTTTAACTGCCTGGGTCAAGGGTCTGTGTTTTTTTCCTCCAGAAGGCACAATCTTTCAGCAACTCAGAGCAGAAACCTCTTGTCCTCATATAAACCTGTATGTTAAACTAGTCTATTGATCTCAGAGTCTGTCTCCCTTCCAGCACATTCTAACAGTTTGGATTTTCTTTTCAATCGGTTTAGTAATGTTCCTGTTGCATGTTAAAGTCTCATGTTCTGTTAAGTCCTGTTGTGTTAGTGAACACCTTTTTATGGCAATGTGATTGTTTGTCAACATGTAGTGTAACATCCGTCTTGTCCGGTTAACTAGCTTCCGTTTATGTTATTAATGTGTCTTGTTCACATTATAAATTAATTTTTCTGTTGAATCATTAGAGATAACATCAAAGAAGGAGTATCTATTGTGCATTACTTATTCGGCAGGGCCTAGGCCCTTTGGCCTAGCCCATTGCTCCACCAATGAGCTGGCTATTAACGGGCTATTCATCATCATAACAAGAACCTATAAACAATACAACATCTTCCATTCACCTCCATCTCCATCATTCTTCTCACCCTTGTGGCCTCCATCAGTCTCCCTTGCCCAAGCCATCTCAGTCTTGCTGTTCTGTCATTAATGTTATCTTTGCAACTATCAGCTCTCCCCTAATGTCCTGCACCCAACCCCTCAATCCCAAATCCCGACACCCTGGATTCTCCACAGAATTATCATCTTTTTTGTCTCCAGTAGGTGCTCTTCTTTTTTTTTCCAATGTGGTCCACATCTCTGTTCCATACATCAGGACAGATCTTATCATAGTTGTGTAGATTTTAGCTTTCAGCTTACATGACATTCTTTTATCTCTAATTTTTCCACTAACACCCTGTCATTATTCCAAGCTTCTGTCATTATTACCTAAACTGCTTTCTCTGATCCTGTCTCTTTGCTAGGTTCAAAGCCCAAATACTTGAATGAGTCCATTTGCTTCAGGCTTGTGCTGCTGCTGTCTATCTCTGCTTCTCATCATCATCCCTTTATTGTTTTATTGTCTACAAGCCCATGCCTGTTCATGCCTCTTTGCCATTTCAGCCACTTTCTCTGGAGCTCCTCCTCTTTGGATTTAGCGATGATAGCCAAGTCATCTGCAAAAAGCAGTTTCTAGGGGAACCCAAAGCAGCACACTCTTGCTTTATTTGTATAAAAAAAATTACATTTTGCATTCAAGTTCTAGATGTCTTGATTATGATCACCAGAACATCACCAGAAAAAAGTTAGTTATTGAAAAACGACAGGGCAAGACCAAAGTGCTTATGAGTCTAACACCGAACCCCTTTTTAATAATAACTTGCTCCATTCATTATTTTATGTTTTGTTAATAGATGATTTCAGTAAGGAACCATTTCAATCCAAAAAATTGTTTTCAGCAAAAAAATGTAAATACTAACCAATTCACTTTTAATAGTAAGGGACAATTTTCAGGCATTAGAATTTCAACAAAAGAAAAATTTTGTTAATAAGAATTTCCATGCAAGTGTTCAGTCCTTGGTCCCACCTGATGGCAGTGCCAGCTACTAACCTCTGGGAGAGTTGCCAGCCACTAAGCTCTGGGGAGACGAAAGAAAATTTTTTAGGCCATGCCCTTTTTACCACCAGAAAATGCTATTTTCCTAACCGGGAACACCAATTTTATCTGAAGGGAACGCTCATGACTAAAGTTTTGTTACGTAAAGGCAGTTTGAGAATCATAGGAGTACATCATAGAAGTATGTTGTCAAAATATTACGCCTCCCCCAAACATTTTCTCATTGAATTTAGGTGTATGAAAGGTTGATCTTGCCAAGAACTGGGAGGATGTGTCCCCCCTGTGGCCCTGCTACTGCCCCCCATTCCTAAAACCACTGTTGTTTGAAAGATAGCTGAAGTTGAAAAGATTTTGGGATTTTACTTTTGCATTTATGCAGTCAATTAGTCTGTTTCACAGTGTCTACATAAACTCCTCTTTCTGCATCTCATGCAATTTTTCATATAGTTTAAGTTTAGTTTTTCATGCAGTATTTCATAAATGATCCTAGACTTGTGATCCTAAACGTATTAGCAAACCACACTGCTGATACAATGTGATCATTTGCAATTTTCTTTCAATAAGTTAAAGCATATTTTTATGTTTTTGTGTTCTTCAGAGATTTATCAGGTTAGACAAGCTCCTCAAATTGTGTTCTCGATTTTTTCAGTGGAGGAAAGATATTGATTATCTTCTGGTAACTGACTGGGTCTTTGAAAATATTTTGCAAGTCTCATAATAAATTTATCCAGTTGCTCTTCAGTTTCTAAGGAAACAATTTATTATTAATGATTAGACGATGTTCCAGCTGGTGTTGGAAACAGGGTTGGCATGGGCGTTGGTAATGATTTTGTATGCTTATTTGGAAACTCAAACAACTAGCTAACAATTTCCCCCCTATTTTTAAAGATGTTTTTGCCAAAAATTTCAAAACCACTGTAAACCCCTTATTAATTAATCAAAATCAAATAATTGATCACCCTTCCACTTCAAAGGCTCATTCAGTCACATTTATGGATGACAAGAAATGCATTATGGTTGATTTTCTGTCGAATTTAGAATACTGATAAGCAAAATCTTAACAATTTCAACATGTAATTTTATGGAGAAAATTCCTATAAAGTTGCCACAAGAATCATTTTTGGGACCTATCGTATCTAATCTATAATGCCAAGTTAAGGTTGAAATGGCATATACAATGAGGCACACTGATAATAAAGAAATCCCGAATTGGATGCTATTTTAGATAAAGACCTTTCTGGTATAGCGTATCATAATTAATACATGTAATACATAATATGATATATTGACTTAAAAACGCAGATTAAGTCCCTTTATGTCTGAATCGGATGTTACCAAAGCTTTGAATGATAAGATCGTAACAAAATTGCGTAAAACGTTTTTCGTTCTGGGAAAGCTGTGACAAATGAAGATATCACCTTGAAAAACTAGAAAATATGGTAGAATAGAAAATATGCAAAAAAAATCTCCTTTGATTCACCTCTATCCTAGAAGATACATAAAACAATTATTTTTGGCGTACATCTGTGACTAGCTTGACTCGTATTTTAAGTTTTCTGTCTAATTTGTTGACGAGGTTACTCTAATACCCGTGTAACCTGAGGTAACATCTTGCTAACCAAAATCAAAACAATAAACAGGTTGTTATCAAATAGTCAATTCAAACTTCTTGGAATCGTTGTTGAAGTAAAACTAGTTGTGTCATAGCTTCATACAGCAAAATGTACAAATAGTATGTATTGTGATTTTTTTGTACAGGATCCCCTTAATAAGTATGAATAGATGTTTTGGTCAACCGTAATCACGATTTTGCAGGTTAACGTAAAAGTTGGCTGTCAACCAAATCTGCAAAGGGCATGTTTGCGAAGGAGTTTTGAGTAGGCGTGAACAGAACCGGTATTTTCTGTCAGCTGATGGTTATCAGCCTCAGCACAGTTAGGTTTTCATAGAAAGGTCCTTTTTGCACCTGCAACGGTGACTTTCCCTAAACATTCAGCGTTCGTAACTCATTTCTGCGCCGTATTCTCATATCTTGTCTCAAACATTAAGGCTGTTCATAGATTACTGCTCAAAAAGAGCAAAATTGCAACGGGACGAAACAAAGAGCTTCGTTGAGATTCTAAGACTCAAATTTTGACAGTTCAGCAGCTTTGCTAATGTGATATTGTGACTTCAAGTAAGTGAGTGTTGCTCACTGCAAGGGCATTGGAAAGATCCGGAGGCGAGGGGAACTTGGCATATTTCTTCGTATTGGGGTTGTCACCGAAGGCTTTGCAGCATGAATGACCAGAAACGGAAAAATGGCGTTGTTGTTAATGATGTGAGTTTTTCATATCTCTTTTAATTAGAGCATTGGCAAGAAACTTTGGCTATAGATAACCGTTTTGCGTCACAAAATCTAAATCACAAAATATCTGTATATTTTGTCAGTAGTAAATTTGTAATAACAGTCGTTCATTAAGCAAAATGAGGTATTTACTAAACGACTCAAAATATAAAGGATTCCTTTAAAATTGATTAGCAAATAAGGTCCACCTGTAACTTCTGAGATCATTGACGCAAGGATGGAATTTTCTCTTCGCAAGTGGCTGAATATTTCTGGCTATTTGTAAAAAAATTACCTTGATTGAAATCATCCATCGTTTTAAAAGAAACATTTAGTGTTTTCTTGAGGGTCTCGTGTCAACAAGCCAGTTAAGGGGATAGCCTTTTTGTTTTCAAATTGAATCGATCAAATGGTCTTTTGACTTACTGCTACTTTATCAGTGCGAAATGTCCACTTTTGAGTGCAAAATCTGCCCTGTGCTGAGTTGAAAATAAGAGAGGCCATGCGTAGATTTTCAAAGACGCTGTTCACTGCATGAAACTTTAAGATTCGTGTAGCAAAGTGCCCCTTTGCTTTTTGCGATGATCAATTATCCATCACTATTGCAGCCAATTATTACAATAACCATTGACT